TTTTAAAACAGTATATTTTTACATATATAAAATGCTTCAGGTTGAAAAACAAAGAACAAAAGTAGCAGATACAAAACCGTTAGACTATATCTTTACAAACGCTGGTAGGACTATATCAGATGAAGAAATTTCATCCGGATCTTACAGATTTGACTATCCAATTCGCTGGCTTCAAAGTCCTTCAGATGCAAAGGCAATAGGATTTAGAAGAGTTTTGTTTTCAAATAGAACTAACGCTTTTATGTTCGCGGTATATTTTCATGGTCAGTATAAAGGTTCTGATGGTCTAATAGAAAAATTTGACGAAATGAAAATCTTTACAATTCGTTCAGACGAAAGTCTTGAGAAAACTCTAAATGACTTTCAAACTCAAATAAACAAATACTACTGGGAATTTCAAGAAAAATACGACTCTTTACTAAATGGAACATACTATCTAAAACTAGAATACGATAAGATGAACTCCACAGTTTCATTTCAAAAGATTGAAATTAACCCTCCAAGAGATACAGAGTTTTTATATTGGGGAGTAGACAAACGTTCTTGGGCACAATTTCTTCGGTTACTAAACCAGAACGAACCATTACCACCTGACGGTCCGTTTAAATTTATACTCCCACCAACAGATTTGACAGTTTATAAAAACGTGTTTGACCCTCAAAATGTCATGTGTCATGCAAGTTTCAGTTCAAGCAACAACAGTTTTCTGTGTATCGGTAAGGACTTTTATGACTTTGCTTCTAAATTCTACGAACCACCTAGTAACAGTTTCTCTGACTTTCAAGTCTGGTTCACAACAAACGGTGTGCAGCATATTATACCATTATACTACGACTTTTATCTCGAATTGTCTTTCATATACAACTACGGAAAAGTGCTGAAAAAGTATTGAAAAATATATTTTAGATCTCACCAGGTCACTCGGTCACTCGGTCACTCGGTCATTTTAACTTCTCTGAAAAAGTGTGACAACATGACATTTTGACAACAACACAGGAGATAGATTTCATCGTATTCTTTCACCCGTTGAATTTTGTATAAAAAAGCAACCGCCGGAATTCCGGCGGTTGGTATATTCTTCACAAAATGCTTGTTTTGAGGTCGAGCCACAAACGAATGTCCGACGGTTAAGCCACAAACGAATGTCCGACGGTTAAGCCACAAACGAATGTCCGACGGTTAAGCCACAAAAGAATGTCCGACGTACCACCCAAAAATATTTTTTATTTTTATTGTAAGAACTGAAATGACAGTCGAAGCAAAAACGTTCACGAACAAATCTAATGGCGAAACATTCACAAAAGGCACTTACAACGGTATTGAAGTCTTACGTAGAGACAAGGATGGTTATATAAATGCAACAAATATGTGTCAGCAGTTTAGGAAAGACTTTAGAAAGTTGTTGGAAAATAAGTCCTGGGAAGAGTACTATAAGGCATTTTGTGAAGAATATACCAACCGCCGGAATTCCGGCGGTTGCTTTTTATATAAAATTCATGCAGGAATTCCCGATGAAATCAAACAGGTTAGAGGAACGTATGTAGACCCAAGACTTGTAAACTATATAGCAATGTGGGCTTCTCCAAAATATTGCATAGCAGTTGGAAAAATTATGGACTCCATAGACAAGAAAGTTCATGAGAAATTAGATGAAGAAGAACTTGAAGATACAGTAGAGAATGCAAAACCTTTGTTCGAAGAAGAAGTTAGAAAAATGCATGAAAAACAAATAGAACATGAACATGAGATATGTTCTGGTTATAGAGACTCTCCATACGAACTAAACCAATGGGAACAAGAAGATTTAAAGAGAGAATTTAGAGAATATGAACTCGCTAAAGTTTCATTAGAAGCTGCAGAAGAGAGGTTAAAAGGTTGGGGTCCTTTTGTACAAAAATATTGTGAGTAAATGAACCATTTTATTTTTATTGAATTCGGCAAAAATATATTTTAGGTTAGATGGTTTTTAGGTGTCACCAGGTCCCTCGGTCCCTCGGTCACTCGGTCATTTTAACTTCTCTGAAAAAGTGTGACAACATGACATTTAGACAACAACACAGGAGATAGACTTCATCGTAAATGTTTTGTATAAAAAGCAACCGCCGGAATTCCGGCGGTTGGTATATTCTTCACAAAATGCTTGTTTTGAGGTCGAGCCATTTTTGGCTCCACCGTAGAAAACACACAAAACTCATTTTTTTTTCGGCAAAAATATATTTTAGGTGAAGTGGTGAGATCTCACCTCTTTTTTCACCTGTTTTCTCACCCGTTGAATTTTCATGAATTTTCCCGAAATAAAAAAGTTAGTTTTTTTAAAAAAATATTTTTTTATTTTTATTGTAAGAACATGTTAGCAACAACAGCACCAAACTCGTTAGTCATGAACCCAACTTCAATGTTAGTAGAGATGAAAAGCTTCATTCCTTCTTCATATACTTTCGAAACAGAAATCCAGAAGATAAAGCAAGAACTTCTCCAAGGAGTTTTAGACTGTAGTGCAAAAGATGAAACAAATGAAGAATATCTTTATGAAATGCAGGATATTATTGACCATCTACCTAAACTTCCTGAAATACAACAACAAAAGCTTACTATTCCTGAATTCGATGAAATAGAAGTCAAAGCAACTGACTCAGTAGAAACCAAGAAGTTCATACGTAAGGTAAACTATGAGTTTCTTGGATTTCATTGCAACCACAAAGTCATGGACAAAGATTGCGATATGTTATATAAGAACATCTCTGACATATACAAATCTGAAGAATTTAAGACCTACGACAACTTTGTTTCGTTAGTTGCAAAATGTGTATGGCAGATAAGAGATAAAGATAAAAGAGGTAAAGTATGGAACGAACAGATAAAACCAGCAACTTTTGAGTTAAAGAAAACCATTGACGCCTTAGTTGTTCTAGCTGGTTTTATTTCAATGTACAATGCTAAAATGAACCCACAATGTTCAAAATGTAAAGCAGCAATGAGGAAATATAACTACTCCGTCAAAGAGATAGAACGTATGCGAAACGACTATGCAGATTTAAAGAAAGAAGCAGAGAAACCAGCAGAAGATAAAATGGACATGTTGACATTTCTAAACAAAAACTATCCAACAGCTGACGATTTCCTTCTATCTGATGTCAAGAAGAAATATAAAGAAACATTCGGCATTGTGAAAACTTTTGACATACTGACAGAAGAAATAGAAGCTACAAAACTGTTTAGGATTTCAAATATACATCGTACAATTCATGTAAAACGCTTGTGAAAAAGAGGTGAGAAAAGAGGTGAGAAAACAGGTGAGATCTCACCTCTTCACCTAAAATATATTTTTGCTGAGTAAAATGACCAAATTTCATTATATAACTGTTATGAGTGACGAAGTGAACTTTTACTCTTCGTAAAAAAAATCCCTGAAGTCTCAACAAAACATATACGAAGAAGTCTATTTCCTGTGTTGTTGTCAAAATGTTATATACGAAAACGATAAAAACGGTTTGACAGAAAAGTGACAACTTTACGTGTCAAAAATATAAAAAGTGATATTTTATTCATCATTATCTTCTTCATAATTTATTTCATATTCTTCGTCTTACCAACAAAAGATGGGAATGTGAACAATTGCGGGCAATTTTTAGCCATTTTGGCTTGGAACTAGAGCCTGCGAGGTACATGGATAGTATCAGTACCTCACAGGCTCTAGTTCTCTATATGGCGCCGAGAAATTTTGGTGAAATGTGGTCGCATTTCACCAAAATTTTTTCGGCGCCATAGGATGAATTGGAGGGTGAGAGATATTATTTCATACAATACTACTCTCACCCTCCAATTCCCAGCCAAAATGGCTAAAAATTGCCCGCAATGTGAACAATTGCGGGCAATTTTTAGCCATTTTGGCTTGGAACTAGAGCCTGCGAGGTACATGGATAGTATCAGTACCTCACAGGCTCTAGTTCTCTATATGGCGCCGAGAAATTTTGGTGAAATGTGGTCGCATTTCACCAAAATTTTTTCGGCGCCATAGGATGAATTGGAGGGTGAGAGATATTATTTCATACAATACTACTCTCACCCTCAATTTTAATTACTTAAACTCATTCTATTTTTTTGACATGTAAATGTCACTTTTACTGAGATCTGACACAATGTCAGATCTCTTTTTTTCGTATATAAGAAAAATGTCATGTTGTCACCGTTTTCAAAAAGATGTTAGTTGACCGAGGGACCGAGGGACCTGGTTAGATCTAAAATATATTTTTGCTGAAAAAAATGACCAAATTTCATGAATTTCCTCATATGTTTGCTACCCCGACTTTTACAGGGGTTGCCTAAAACTCTATGAAAATCGTAAAAAAACTCTATGAAATCATATCTTTTATACAAGATAGAAAAAATAAAATTAACGCTAGTTTTTTTAAAATATTTTTTTTTTATTTTGTATGTAAGAACAGGAAATGACAAGCACTGAGTTTGAAACAGTTAAAAAGATAGACAATGAGACCAAAGTGGTTAGAATTGGTGATTTAAACGTAAGATACTCAAAGAAATACAAAAAATATTCTTTGTCAGACATTATATCTCCATCTGGAAAGAGAGCAAGCGACTGGGTTAGAAATGCTTCTACTCAGAAAATTTTGACAAGAAATCCTGAGCTGATGATATCGGTAAGATTCTATGGAACAAGAGCATATCTCATCGACAAAAGTCTTATACCAGTAGTTTTGTTATGGTTAGACCCAGTTGTTGGATATAATTTCATAACATATGGTTCATTCGATACTGAACGTTGCAGTGAGGGCTTACTTTACATCGTTCAGAAACCGAAGGACTTCAATACAAAGAGATATAAGATAGGAAGAACATTTAATATAAGTAGTAGATATGACTCTACAGTCAATAGAGTTAAGGTTGCGTTTGTTAACGATATGAGAGCTGCTGAAACAGAACTGCTTGAAGTTTTTGAGAAAAGGTATGGTGCTCCCACGAGAGGTAAAGAAACGTTTGAAGTAGATGAGATAGATAGTGCTATAAAATTATTTGACGAAGTTGCTGAAAAATACATGTAAAGCGTTTATTTTTGGTCTTTTATACAAGATAGAAAATAACGCTAATTTTATTTTTATTTTATTTTTTATTTTGTATGTAAAGACAGATATGACAACATCAGAGAACACAACAACTGCTATCGTTCATGAAGCCATAGATGAAGAATACGAGTGGGTTCAGTTTAACAAACAGTTACGTCTCATTCGTTCGGTCAAAGATGACATGTACCAAATGCAAAGTATTTTGACAGCATGTTTTGCACCAGATACTAAGAAACCACAAGACTGGTTTGAATTAAATAGCACTCATGAACTCCTCAGTGAGTTTGAACATGTAGAACTTTAAAAAGATGTACCAAGACAGACAAAACTTACCATCGCATCTAAAAGGTATATATGTTCATAAGTTCCTAGCTAGTTCAATAGCAATGTGGGCTTCACCTCGTTATGCAATCTACATACTTATGCTACTTGACGAACTTTGTACAAAGCAGAGAGAAGATATGATGAAAGAAGACAAAAACATACAGAAAAGAATACCACGTCCGGTACCAAAAGGAAAGGAAAAGAACTATAAGTATATGATTTACACTGAAGAGATGGAAAATGAAGAAGACAGAGATCATGGTTATGTTGCATTTAGTCAGAAGAAACAACAAAAGCTTTTACGACTTAGCTAAGATTTACAAATCTGACAGAAATTGGTTCTATCGCGAAAACTTACCGATTTCAATGACACCGAATGAAGATGTTAAACAGATAGTTCAAGATACGTTACCTCAAACACACTATGATATGAAAGGTTGTACAATACTTACATTCAAAGAAGATTTGCCGCTACTGAAGGAAAAAAATAACAGAGTATTTTGACAACTTCAAAGAGGAAGAGTAAATGAACCATTTATTTTTCAAGCTTGACACCAAAGATGGCTCAGGTAGCTCTAGATGGTAAATTGTCTTGTCCGAGTCCTTCTGGCATTCCGAGTCCTTCCTTCCGACAGGAAAAGTTTTTCCTTCCAACAGGAAAAAAATTTCCTTCCAACAGGAAAAGTTTTTCCTTCCAACAGGAAAAAATTTTCCTTCCAACAGGAAAAAATTTTCCTTCCAACAGGAAAAAATTTTCCTTCCGACAGGAAAAATTTTTCCAGTTGTCCGTCCGTAAACCATTCAAATTTTCGAAAATTGAGAACTTTTTGGCCGACCTTCAGGAAAAATTTTTCTTTCCGACAGGAAAAATTTTTCTTTCCGACAGGAAAAATTTTTCTTTCCGACAGGAAAAGTTTTTCTTTCCGACAGGAAAAGTTTTTCTTTCCGACAGGAAAAGTTTTTCTTTCCGACAGGAAAAGTTCTTCCTTCCGACAGGAAAAGTTCTTCCTTCCGACAGGAAAAGTTCTTCCTTCCGACAGGACACAAACGAATGCCCGACGTACCACCAACCGAGTCCATTCCAAAGCCAGAAGAACCGACAGCCCCAGCACCACAACAGACTAAGACTCAAACACTTACATTTTTACGCTTGACTTTTTACAATTTGAACTTTGTTTGCGTAGATGTGAATTCTGAAAGAAGTATGAGGGTCTTGTATGACTTTGTACTTCTCCATAGTTCATGTCTGTCAAACTTACCTGCCATGGACTCTTTCATAAGTTCCATGAAATCGTCTTCGGACAATCCGGGGAAAAGTATGATATCAGTAAGTATTCTCTTTACATCCTTACTTAAACTCTTGGCTGTCTGTACACAAATGACAACAGAGATGTTAAAGTGTCTGAGCTTCTTAAGAATTCGACACATGTCTTGTTCTCTGTTCTTTAACAAAGGATGAGAAGCAAAGTCATCTAAGATAAGAAGACATCTGTGAGGGTAAGTCTTCCAATCGTAAGATTGCAATTTCTTCGAAATGTATTCTATCTCTTTCTGTTTGTTCTGAAGTGTTTCTTCTCTAATATTCTCTGCATTTCCTCATTTGGGTCTTTAAACTTAGAATTGACATACTCATTTATAGCATTGTACTTCAAAACTCTTCTTTGGTACTTCTTTATCCAATCTAACAACTCAGAGTCTTTTATACATACTAACTTAGACTTTTTTATAATATCTTTGAACGAATTGACGGTTTGGTCAAATTGACCAGAAGTACTACAAATGACTACTAACTCATAGAATGGGTTCTTCTCATCTAGTTCTTGTTGTTGTGCAGCCATTTTAAGATAAGTGAAAGTCTTACCCGACCCAGGCGGTGCAATTAGACCTGTTATACCATTCTGAGCAAATAAGAACTTGTCATGTATGGGTTTTATCTGAGCATTTTCCAACTTCCTCTTGTTCTTGTTTAAAACATTCTCAATTTCTTGTCAATGTCAGCAAACTTTTTTTCTAACATATTTTAGAAAAATTAAAATTTTTATCTTTTAGGAAATGTCTAGCGATTTCGCTATCTATATTCGAGACAAGCTTTTCGACAGCAAAACATCTGTCGACCATAAAATCTTACATAGTGTAAACAAGAAAGGTGAATTTGTTCTAAAGTTCTGTTTCTGGGAATATGACAAGAACCATAAAACCTTAAGCAGAGAAGTCTTAAAATTTGTCAATGACAGACTTGTTGACAGAGATGACGCCTCTTGGAGAGATGAAGTCCAACAAAACTTCTTAGAATGCAAAGAAGACACATGCGCTGTTCTTGAAAATGAAATAGAAAACAGAATAGAAGAGCTATTAAATGACAAAGCACTTTTACAAAAATATGGTTCTGAGAAGTTTGACATAACTCCACCAGAGAAGAAGAAGAGAGAAAAGAAAGAAAAGAAAGTAGAAGAAGAGAAGAAAGAACCAGAGCCAGTTCCAGAGAAAAAGAAATTTGACATGTAAAAATAAAATTTTATTTTTAGAACATTTCTGGGTCAATGTCAATGTTCTCTTCCTCTTTAGGAGCAAACACTGGCTTAGACTCTAAAATCTTTTTACCCAATTTACCTTGAACTTCAACTATCTTAGACTCATAATATTCATAGTCGTCTGCTTTCTTTGGTTCATAAGGTATAACAAGTTTGTATGCTTTGCCTTCTTTAAGGTTTGAAAACCTTCTGTCAAAACTTTCTTTGACTGTTAACAAACCTTCTATGTCTAAGTCTTCAAATTTCGCACCATTTTTAGTCACAATAGCAAACTTAACTGGTTCGATGTTCCAAACTTTGTCAAATGAAGACTTTTCAAAATGGTAGAAGTAAACATTCAAATATGTGAATGGGTCTAGTTCTTCTTTAAGTCCTGACATGTACTTGTTGACTGAGATGAATTTTGTCATCTTTTCTATCGGATAAAAAAAATATTTTTTTTTTAAATTTACTCAGAAAAATTTTTCTTTGTATATACACCATTCTGAACGTCTAAAAGACTTTTGACATTTGCCAAGAATGTTCGTTTAGACGCTGTCATATAACCATACTCTTGACAATACTGTTTATACGAATCGTACAATGACCTTTCATCTAAACACTCAAAGTCTTCATCTATGAACAGTTCATATACACTCTTGTTTGCTTCTAACAACGTTTGTCTCTCTTCGGTATGTGGAATTTGTCTTGGATTGAACTTAGAAATATCTAATGTCATGAAATATGAGAACAAGTGGTTGTAAAAGTCAGATGTCAAAGTTTCTGCTAAGTCGTCAAAATATTCTGTATCTTGCATATGAGCTTCTGACGTTCTGACAACTACATATCTTCTGTCAGAACTTTCTAACTTCATCGGAACAGCGTTGTTTGAAACCATGATGAAATTTGCAACATTTTCACAAACTCTTTGGTCTCTATACTTTCTTTCAACAACTCCAACTTTGTCTGTTATAAGACTCTTCAAAGCATCTGAGTTCAAAACTTTTGTTGTATCTATACTTTGAAGTTCGTTACATACTATAAGTTTCATATTCTCTATTGAAGAGTTAAATTTACCGCAGATGTTTTCTAAGTTTGTCATATTAGGGTTCGAATAGCCCTCTAACAGTTTGCATAAATATCTGTAAAGAAAGTGTTCTTACCTGTTCCCTGTTTTCCAATTACAATGAGAGCAGTTTCATTTTTAGCACTTGGATGTTGTAAGATGTTTGCAAACCAACATAAGATATACTCATAGACTCTTTCGTTTCCATTGCATATAATTTCTTTGACATGGTCTAACCAAGCTTCTATAACATTTTCTTTCCATTCTACTTGTTCGTATTTATATCCAGTGAAGATAGAATAGAAGTTTGGAGAAGGTGTATAGAACTTTATACCACGAACTGAAAAATCTTCTAACTTTGACAATAAAATATCCCAAGCATCTAACATCTTCATGCCAACTTGTACAACTTTTATTTTCTTAAGTTTCTGTTTTTCTTGTTCTGAAACTATTGTCGCTTTAGGTTTGTTAAAGACTACATCCCATTCTTTCATGACATAACATTCTGGGGCAGAGTCGACATAAATGACTAAACGTTTCAAATTCTCGACTGCTTTGTTATAGTCTCGAAATGGACACATATTTCTGAACGCTTGGAAGTCATAAAAATCTGAAACGTCTATTCTGTACATTTTTATAAAAATAAAAAAAATATTTTTTTATTCTTGACTTTGTTCCATTTGTTGCATTTGTTGTTCTTGAGCTATTTGTTGTTGAAGTTGTTCTTGTAATACAATACTTTCACCAGTTGCATCTTCCAATTCGAAACTTTCTGCCGTCATTGACAAATACATAGGACATAAAAGTTTTACAGGAACAAAGTTTGCGTCAACTAAGGTTAAGTTTATGTTTGCTAAAGTGTTTGAGTTCACTAAAGCTGAAAACTCTGCATTCGAATGAACAATAGGCAAACCAGCAGAGAATGTGTTGTTTATACGCATAAGTATCTTTTGGTCATAGTAGTTTCTGTCGACATTCGAATAGCACTTTGAACCTAAGTTTGAAAACAATATATAAAATAGGTGTACTTAAAGTCAATGGAACAGATAGACCTTGTATGACACCTTTTACTGTTATAGGAAACTGTTGGTAGTAAAAACCAGATATAAGTTTTGTATTATAGCTCATATCGTTTATACTAAACTCAGTCGGACATCCAAACATAATGAAACCTGCTCTAGTTGCAGCACATGTTACATCCGTCCTTAAAGTATTAAATAAGTCAACAAAACCTGTTGGTGGTATATCTGAGAAGTATCTTCAAAGGAGTATTTTTACCATTCACAACAACAAAGTTCTTCTGGTGTCAAAAGAGCAAAACAGGCTTTAGTCGTCATCGTGTTTAAGGTCAGTTTACAATATCGTCCTTGAGGACTTTGTAAGTTTGTTGTTATAGAATTATATGACTCAGGGTTTTTAGTCGTAATAGTATAAACCACTATGTCTTCTGCCATTTACATATATTAAAAGTTTTTCTGAAAGTGGAGAAGAACTTCATCTAAACTTTCACATGGCGTTTCTTGAAGTTCTCTGTCTAAGAAGTTCAAATATTTTGTAAAGACATAGAACTTTCCTTTGTCTACACGAACAAACAAAACAGGGTCTTTCATATCGTTCAAAAGTGTGTAAAGTCCTTTACATGAAATAAAGTCTATATTGTTTTTCTTCAAACATCTTTCAAGAAGTTTTGACATTTTTACTTAGCAAACAAACTTAATGAAATGTTGTGGTCGTCAAATATTTTTATGACGTCTGGGAAACTATATTTTAAGTTCAACGTTTCACCTCCTTTCATAACGTATATCTTGTCAATGACATTATTGAAACACCACAGCAAGCAATGTCGGGTTCTATTTCTTTGATGTTTATATCGTCTGCCTCTGTCAAAAGTTTCAATAGTTCTTTCAAAACTTCATGAGGTGCGATGACATATGAGTTCACTTTTACAGGGTTGTGCTCGACCAAGTTTAACATTATACCTAAAGCTTGACAAATCTTCTCCTGATTTTAAGTTTGTCTTTAAGTTGTTGGTAGTCATTCGAATATCTGCAACAGAACTTAAGTCTCTGCTAACTTCAGGATATGTTGGTTGTTTCTTTGCAGGAACTATTGTTATACCATCTTCGTCTTCGTATGGTTTCCCCACTTCAACATCTCTGTCTTTGACATTGACAACAACACTTTGACTGTTTGTTTGAGTTGGTGAATTTAACTTCACATCTGCCATCGCCATTAAACCTTTTGAAACACTTACGCTTCTATTTTCGGAAATGACATTTTACTTAGAATAAAAAGATGGACGTATTTGAGTATCTCTTCGAATTGAAGCAAAACAAAGTTTACACACACAAACAATACAAGTTCATTGACAGAATAGTTCTTTATACAAACAATGGAAAATGTTATAGAATAGCAGTCTTTGCTGAACCAAAATATTTTCATAAAGCAAAGAAAGTTGGTATAACCGAGATGGTGAAAGTTCTTGAAGCAGACAAAAATATAACAACAAAACTGACCGATATTTCTAAAGGTAAGTTTTTAATACAATACTATGTCAAAACTGGCGTACTGTCAATATTTGACGGAGAGAATCAGTTCAAGAACAACTTACTGACCTGCTGCCAAAAATCTGCTCGATGGAAGCTGTCGTTATAACCAATCTGAGGAGCCCCAGCAGGTTCATCGAACGAATTTCAAAAGAGCATCTTCTGTGAAAAAGTGCTATTGGTTTTGTAAACTCTTTGCTTTCAATTCATTGGACCGTCTCTGTCACCAGTATATTGTATTTGAACTGTACAACAGTGAAATACCACCCATAAAGTCTTCTGAGTCAGCAAATGGAATGCCAAGCCAAAAGTTTGAACGGTCTCCATTTGTATATTGAGTTTTTTGACCTCCTGCATGAGTCCATACTTTCACATATGGCATAATAGAACTTTGCATTTCAGGGTTAATGGTTGTTGTGAAGTTGTTGTTAAAGTTCATAGCATCTAATGTCAAGTTGTATGACCTCATATCCTCAACTGGAATATTCTTCTCTTGGATAGTATTTGCCATCTATGTTTATATGATATTTAATACCGGGGTTGTAGAAACAAGAATAGTCATTTATAGTTCGTCTGAACAGTACAAACATAGTATCTGCATGTTTCATTGCAGTTGTTAAAGCAATATCTGTTCTTGCACCTGGGTCAGCACTTTGGTTTCCAACTTCACCTGCAAAGTCTTTGACAGATATTTGGTGTATAGGGAACATAAGTGGAACTGCAATATATTTGGCAGCTAAAGCATTTGAAATATCTGGGTCCAACATATAGACTGCAAGTCTGCTTTCTATTCTCTTGCATTCAAATTTTTCGCATGTGAACTTAACTGGGTCCCAAGCAGTTCCAGCAGCATTGAAGTAGTAGTTTACTTCAGTGTTGAGGTTTGAGAAACCAAAGTCTAAGTCAACCTTGTCTTTGCAAAAGTCACAGAACTTGGCTCCACCAGTTCCAGCTACAATAAGAGTGAATGGGTCTTGTGTTGGTGCAATGACTAAGTTATTTTTGCTTGGAGTAAGTTCGATAGAAATTTTTCCTGCCCAGTTTGGCAAGTATCTTAAAAACCTGAAGATGAGGAAAGATGACAAAGGAACTCTAAGTTTCAGTTTTACTTTGGTTACTGCTGCTGCAGTTTGTCCAGAAAGGTCAACATAAACTCCTGGAACGTTAGGGTCAAGTCTTCTTATTTTCTCAATAGTTGCATACTGGTCTGTTTGTTCTCTAGCTTGTGGTTGTACTGAGTTTCTCAAAGCGAACCATTCATAGTTTGCCCATGTTACTGTTTGAACTAAGTCAGAGTTAGAATATATCTTATATCCCATGAAAACTTCTGGAGCATATTGGTATCCGACATAGAAAATTCCATTGCAACCTTTCTTGTCAGACAACTTGGCAGAAGGTTTTATTTCAATGTCTTGTTCCACGTATAAGAAAGAGTTGTCAATAGAAATTATATGAAACCTGTCGCAAGCAATATCTACTGTTGTTGAAGAACCTTCTCCAAACTCACCTACGTTTCCATAAGAAACAGCAGTTGTATATTCGTAAGTTCCAGGAACTATTTCTGACCTTCTAATGGCATTGTCGCATTCGTTATACCATTCGGAAACATTTCCATTCATGGCATCCAAAACTGTTGGCGTTATATTCTGAGCGGCGTACATTTCATATGGGTAAAAATATAGAATAGTTGGATTTATATGTCATAATAGAACCCACGTGGACCAAGCTTTACTTTCTTCCTGACTGAGTTTTTAACTCTTCTTTTTCCTTCATTGCCACTACTTTCACTAGATGAAGTTACTTCTTCACTACTTTCACTTTGTTCTACTCTTCTTCTTTGGTGTCGCTTTGGTAACTTGCCCTCTGCTTGAAGTTGTTGCATCTTTGCCTCATGTTCACCTAGTATGTTGTAAATTTCCCATGTCCTTTTTGCCTTTGGACTCTGGTCGCCCATCTCAGGTAACCTATATCCTAGAAAGAGTTTGTCATAGTCTGTATTTGAGTCTTCGCGTATTGTTTGCATGACTCTTTCCTGAGTTTCCGGTTCAAGCTCTTCAAACAGTGCCTGTCCATATGGAATATGCTCGTTTCCAAATATATGTTTTTGTAGCCATTCTGGTTTTCTTTCCATGTTACCAATTATATCTTTTGTGAATGGGAAAGCTTCTACCCAATCTTTCAGTCTTGCGTCGTTTATTTCTGTAGTTGGTTTTATTTTGTCAAGGAACATGTTTTTCAATACTAACATTTCATTTGGTACTGTCCATTTGAGTTTTCTTAAATATTCATCCCTTCTCGGTTCATCGTCTGCAAAGTAAGTTTTTATGACATTTTGTAAACTTTCGTTTGCAAGGTCATGTACAATAGGTTCTCTTCCTTCTCTCTCCCTAACTCTCTTTCTAAACTCTTCACCAAATATACCATCTCTATGGTTCTGTGTAGTTCTTTGAGATAAATGTTCTAGAACGTCAGGTGTTATATTTCCATCAGCCATGTTCATTTCATACTGGTCCAAAATATCTGCATGTTTCATATCTTTCAATGGCATTAAAGCCGCGCTTAAAATACCAGCTATATCTGGTTCACCATTGACTTCCATTGCGTCTACAACTTCTTGGAATTGTGGTTGTAAGTTTATGAACCACCTATCCGGGTTAGCTTTATGACCCCATCTCATTGTAGTTCCATCGTCTGCAGAAACAAAAGTAGGTTTGTTTCCATCTTGGTTAGGTTCTGAATGAACTTTAAACAATGTTTCATTTCTATATGTTTTCTTGAAATTTAACCTTTTATTTTCACCGAGTTCATCCGAAGATTGAACGTTAAATGCTCGTAAGTAAAAAGGGTTGTTGTATTTGTGTACATTTTCTTTCAGTGCTTCCATTCTATGCTGAATATTTTCATCTGGTGTTGGAGTCTTTTGTATGTCGGCAAACATTTTTCGATATTCTTCTACTATGTCAGCCGAATTTTTTTTAGACTCTTGGAAATATTCCATATTCTCCGCATACTCTTGTTGAGGGTCAAGATTTTTCGGCTGTTCCAAATCTTCATCTAGTTCTGTGAAGTTAGTTTCCAAAGGAAGGACTTGTTCGTTTCCTTCAGGCTCTTCTAGCTGTTGTTGCTGAACTATTTCTTCCATGTCTGGTTGTATCTGAACTTCTTCCTGTGGAGTTTCTTGTACCTCATCTGCTGGCATTTCATATATTCCGAGACCGTTTTCAACAATTTCCCTATCTACGTCATCCGCATTCATAAGCTTTTGTTCTTTCGTTCCGTCTCTATTTTTTACGCGTTTCATGACGAAAGTTGAATTGTCATTTAGCTCTGACATCAAATATCTCGGAGTAAATTCATCCATGTCATTTGGATGATATGCTATTAAATCATATCCCTTAGCGAGCTTGTATTTTCCAGGTTTGAGATTATATCCGTTTTGGTGCTGAGCCATAAAGCTAAATAGGTTCGGGTCAGTATTTCCATCCTTGAACTTTCCAATAGCTTCTTTATATCTGTCACTAAAGTCAACAGTATCTGGGAAACCACACTCTTCTTTAAGCATTTTTAAGAATTCTTGGTTTCCTTGTTCTCTACTTCTTTTATGTCCTTGCTCTGTTTGTGGTTGTTGTTGTGCAGGGTTTTGAACTGTTGGTTGCTGTGCTGGTTGTTGTGTTGGTTGTTGTGCTGGTTGTGGAGGTGGTTGTTGTGCTGGTTGTTGTGTTGGTTGTTGTGTTGGTTGTTGTGTTGGTTTTGGTGCATGCCTGTGTCTGTGTCCATGTGACGATGTAAATGTTTTAGGTAGTCCTGGTGCAGGTGCTTCTCTTGGAGGGTTTGGTGGTATATAAATTCCACCAGCTGGCACATATGTTCCATCTGCAGCGTAATGTCCTACCTGACTTTTCGTTTTTAAGAAAGCATTTACTAGGTCTGTTTTGGTCTGTTGTAACTCTTTTTCTTGACTTTTCACAACAGTTGCTCTAACGGCGTCATAGGCACTTTGAACTGCCTGTCTCGTTGCTGCATCTGTTATTTTCGTCATATTTTGTGCTACTTCTTTTAACTCTTTGTCGAAACCTTCAGACTTCAGTTTCTTTCCAGATGAGAAGTCGTTCACTTGTTTCACCTTACTATGAAGAGCTTCGAAAGCGTTCTTAAAGTCAGCATTTGTTAAAGCTTCATTTGAACTATCTTCATCCGCTTGTATTTTTGTCCTTATTGACCCTATGAGTTGGGCTGCTTTAGCGTTGGCTTGGGCATCTAACCAGTCATTGTTAGCTTTTATATATTCTGCGCTTTTCATTGCCTTTTGCATAGCCGCGTCGTTATTTTTACTTTCTTGTGCTAAGTTTTCATACTGTACGGTTTGGTTTTGCAACTGTAAAAGTTTTTCTGCCTTTACATTTGCTTCAACTTCCTTTTTATACTCATCGCTATCCATATATGTCTTCAGGGCTTTTTGTTTTATCTCTTCATCTTTCAGTACTTTATATCGAGTAGTATGGTTTTTCAAATTTACAACATCTTGTTCCATTTTTGCTACTTCTGCTGCTTTTTCTGACACTTTTTTCGCATATTCCTCTGTACTTAGTTCTTTCAGTTGTTCTTCTTTCTTCTTTTTCTCTACGTTTAACTCATTGAGTTTCTTTGTGTGTCTGTCATATTCTAGTTTCTTTTCGTTTTCACCTATTTGCTTCTGTATGTCTATGTTTGACTTTTTGACATCTGCTATTTGATTTTTGAGTGAACTCAAATTCATTTGACTTTGAGGGTTATAGGCTGTTCCGTCTGCAGCTCCACCATAGCCTGCCATTTTCGCTAAAAGTGCCGCTCTTAAACCTCCACTCTGTGCACCAATGACTCGGTTTAAAAGTATAGGGTTGCTTGACATTTGTTGCAACATAGTGGGGTCATTCAGCATTTGTTGTTGCAACTGTTGTTGTGGTGTTAGTCTTACTATTGGATGTTTCAATGCTCTCTTCCTCTTACGTATATTCTTACGTAGCTTACGTGGCATTTTAAGTGAAGTTAAAAAGCGGTTTTATACTAAACATCTTCGGGGCTAGAGGGCGCAACGCGCCTGGAAGCCCCAATACCTTTTTTTTTTTTTTTTTTTTTTTTTTTTTTTATTTCATTTCTACAATAAATAAAATCGCATCTAAACCATAAACAGATCTTGAATCTTCGACGATTTTTGTTGTAAATCATATTTTTCCACAACGTGAGGCATATTATTGCTAAGTTTGATGAGACCACTGACTATTGAATCAAATACACCTAAATATATTAGAATTTAACAAAGATTTAAAAAATTATAATTACAAAATAAACAATTAACCAAAGAAACATATAACAATAGCTTTAAATACCCATGACATGATGTTGTATTGTCTCAAATTAAAGAAATTTAGTAAAATAAACAAAATAATTTATTTTTTACAAAGATAATATAAAAATTTCGGATCTACTCAGCACCATGGTCTTTGAGGTACTCAACAATTTCTTTGAATTTGTTCTCCTGGGCTATTGACAGCGGATTTCCCTGCCATTGGCCTTTATTCACGTCAGCGCCGTAAGTAATCAATACTTTGACGATTGGTAGGTTGCCAAGCTTGCAGGCGTACATTAATGGGTACCAAGTTTCATCATCAAATAATTTTTCTTGATTTACTGATTTGCTGTTGGTTTGTAAGTTGTAAATGACACTTAAAGCATCATCACATTCGATTGCATCGAATATATCTTCGATATAATCCTTTGGTTTTTGCATTTCCTTCATTGCCGCTGGTTTCCATTGACAAATGCTTTCTTCTAGCTCTGCGTTCTCTTCTTCAATCAGTTCTACCTGCTTTTCGTATTTTTCTTTAACTCCTGGCCACTTTTCAGCATTTTCTTTGTATTTTGTCAAAATTTCGATGTTCTTTTGCATTTCTTCAACACTGTCTGTGATGGCTTTGTACTTTCGACCATTTTCAGCTACTTCGTATTGCAATTTCCTACGTTTTCTCTCGAGATCTGTTGTATCTTCTTGGATTTCCATTTTCTCGAAAGGATGGATGAAAATTGCGTTCGTCAATGGAGTATTGATACCTTTAAGGATCGCATGGGCTGATTTTCCATCAGTTTCGGTGCATTTCAGATAGGCCAAAACTTGGAGACCATTGTAATCGTAATTTTTGATCGTCATTGAGCATATTCTGATGCATTCATCAACAGTAAACAATTCTTTCGTGTTCTTGAAAGATCTGAGAATTACAACTAAAGGAATCTTGAAAAACTTGTCGTTTTTGATGAACTCATGGATATCTTCTAAAATTCTCTCATCATAATCAGTTGGATTCTTGTTATATCTTGAAACGTCGATAATTGTTGAAATTGTGTCAGAAACCCATTGATTAATAGCAAATCCTTCTGTATTGGATATTTCCTCGGCATTTTTTTCTTTTTGTTCAGGTTCTGTCGGTGGATTTTCTTCAATTTTTGGAGATTCGGTATTTTGCAACTCTTGGATTTCTATATCCATTTCTTTTTCGATTCCAGCAATATTCTCTTCTTTTTGCTCAGGTTCTGCTGATGGATTTTCTTCAATTTTTGGAGATTCAGTATTTTGCAATTTTGGGATTTCCATATTCATTTCCTTTTCGATTTCAGCAATAATCTCTTCTCTTTTTTCTGTTTGTTCCTCAGTTTTTGTTTCAATATTTTGTTTCACGATTTTTGCAGCTGCTTTCTTCGGTTTGATGGTGATACCATATGCAGATGCTATAAACTTAGCTATAAGCTTGACCACGTAAAAAAATGCAATAAAAATGTATTCAAGAACCATATTGGTAAAAAAGTGACAATTTCATATCTTTGCTCAAAAAATGAAGTATAAAATAACATGATAAATAGTTTAATAACTTGAAAATAATCAATTTTCCTCAATGAATTATATCAAAATTTATCTTTATTCGAGATTTTCCAACTGAATTCCACCATATTCAGTGTTTCTATAAATAAAATCATCATTAGCAAATAGTATATATGATTTCAAATATGAGTTATTTGTAAATTTATGTAAAATAAAGAATTGTAAACTAAAATTATTTTTATAATTCATTAACATGATCTAAAGTAATAAGGCTGGATCGTCAATGAAAGTCTTTGGTTTGTGCTCTCTTGGCTTTCCATCTTCTTGCTTTGCTTCTGCATCATTGTTTGAAGTTTCTTGTGGCTTTTCTTCTTCTTGCTTTGGTTGTTCCTCTGGCTTTTGTTCTTCTTGCTTTGGTTGTTCCTCTGGCTTTTGTTCTTCCTTAGGCTCTTCCTGCTGTGGCTGCTGCTCAGGTTCTGGCTCTAATTGGATTTCGCGGGTTTTTACAACTGGTTCTTCTTCAACAGGAGGTATATCATCTCGATTAGGTTCTTGCGTAGGTTTCGGTTCTTCAGCTGGTTTTTCTTCTGCCTTTTGCTGATTCTTCTCTTCAGATCCTTCAGCTGGTTTCTTTGCTTCTTTCTTCGAAAGTTTCTTCTGAACTGGTGCTGGTGGAAGAGTCATGTTGTCAGACTCAGAGGGCTTGGTGGCAGAACATCCCATTTTTTAAATGCTTTTATTTCTCCAAAAGTGACAAAATAAAATTCTTCGGATTTTTATTGAGATATTTCTGCCATCGTCATTATAATTCATTTCTTTTGCATTGATCGAGACACCTATAGTTAATAAATGCAAATAACCGTATTCGTTTCGGCGAAATTCAACTTTTTTTGAGAGAAAATTTCGATCTTTTACAAGGCAGGGCCATGACAAAAGATTTCATTTGAGTTTTTCGAATATTGGGTAAATCAAACACCAATTCCGAAATTTAAGGAAAATTTTCGGAGAATGAAAATTTATTTATGCAATTTTCACATTTTATCAATATAAATAGCCTAGGAATTAGTTGGTAATAAATATTCAATGATAAATTGTAAATAATATTGAATTCCAAAATGATGCCAGATAATTTTTAGCTACTGCTGAATAATTTTCTAAATCCATGCTGATGCATAATTCTCAAGAACCTTGGTTCAGCTATTAACTCATCATAAAATGGATAGTGTTATTTTATCTTCTTTCACAAATGTATCTGAGAAAGAACTTAGATGCATCATAACAATTGTATACAACGAAAAAGAGTATTTAGTGTGCGGAGAAAGAACAGGAATCATCTATATCTATGAATATTCAAATCCATTAAAATTAATTCGAAAATTCAAAGCTCATGAATCAACAATATCTTGCATAATATATACAAAACAATTTTCATGGACTAATTCTGAAACATTATTATCAGGAAGCTTAGATTGTTCAATTAAATCTTGGAAAATGTCTGAAGTACTTGATTTAGATAAAGAAATCAAAGAGTCATATATTTTCCAAGAACATGAAGCAAATGTATGCTTTTTAAAGCAAATTGATGAAAATTCTTTTATTAGTTCATCATGGGATAGCACAGCAAAGATTTGGAGATACAATAATAATACTTTGACATTATGCCATGAAGGATTTGCCATTTGGGCCGTTGATTACTCAAATTTAGGCTTAATTACTTGTGGAGCCGATTGTACTCTCAGATTATGGTCGTATAATGGAGATATGATATGGAAGATTGATGGAGCACATACACAACCCATAAGATACATTAAAATGGTTAATGAAAATCAATTTGTTACAATTGGCAATGATGGACTACTTAAACATTGGCAGTTTAACCAAGAAAGCTTAAAACTCGTCAAATCTCTTCAAGTTACTGATACTTATTTATATCATTTATTTTATTCCGAAAAAGACATCATTTATCTATGTGGAGAAGATAAATGTCTATATATAATCGATTTCAACCAGTTTAAAGTTACAGATTGCTTCCCTTTGATGTCAATTCCGTGGTGTTCTTCAATTTTGAGAAATAATGACATTGCTGTTGTCGGAGAAGATAAATCGATCACTATACTAACTAATGATGATAAAAGGAGGTGTTCTGTTGAAGAAGAAGCGAAGTTTTTTGATAATTTGAAAGAAATTGAATTTAATCTTTCCGAAGAAATGATTTCTTTAAATGATATATCAGATATCAATGACTTAGCAAATGAAGAGCCTAAAATCGGATTTTTCTCCTTAAATAAAGACAAAAATGGCGAAATCGTGATATCTTTATTTTCAAAGGGTTACAATAAATGGATTCAATGTGGAAAATCAAAAACTAAAGAAAAACAAAAGGTAACAAATGAAAAAGGAGAAAAATTCGATGTTTGTATTTCAATTGTTATTGAAAACATCGGATTCTTCAAAAACTTGTATTTTAATGTTGACCAAGACCCAGAAAATGTTGTAGACCAGTTTTTGAGCGAAAACAAACTTCCTGAAAAATATAAAAATGAAATTCTCGAATTTGTTAAAGCAAATGTGAATCCAAAGCTTTTGAAGCAAAGATTCTTCCCAAAGATGCAGCTTTTCAAAGAAGAAACACAGGAAATTTCAAAATTAATTGAAAATTTTGAAAATGAACAACAAAAGTTGATAAATAAATGTGATAACGATATGTTGCACAATATCAACTTGATTGTTAGTAATTGTGCACCTGAATTGACTTCTTTTGCAATAGAAATTTTAAGATTTCACATTTCTCAAAAAGAATCGAAAGATTTAGACAAGAAATTGATATCAAACATAGTTACATCATATTCTGCAAGAGAACTTACGAAACAAGGCTTGATTTCGCTTCTTTCCTTGATATTAGATTTATTTTCAATTTGCCCTGAAATTACAATTGATCTTTGGCATGTTTTGGAACCAATTGTACAAAACTTTACAAATTTAGATGGTTTTTCACAAAAACTGGTTTCAAAAATAATTTTTAATTCTTCTGTTGTAATTTCTAAGTTTGAACAGTTTTCACAGCATTGGGTCAATCTAATGAACATTGTGTTGAGTGTTTGCAAGTATAATTTCGAAGTTTCTGAAATTTTATTATTTTCATTTGGAAATTTCTTTTATTTTTCATCAAATGCAGTCAAATCAAATGTTAATGTTGATTTGATAACAGATATAGCTCTGGAATCTGTTGAAAATGATGAATTACGCGAAGCAATTTTTGATATTTTATCAACTTTTTCTTAATTTATTTTGTTAGTATTATTTAATAAACTTTATACATTTGTTAGAGCGAAATAGGAAACTTTTTATTGCAACTTCATTACTTATTAACCTCGCAAGATAAATTTATTTATTCCTTTTTCATCCTTTGTCAAATCCAATAAAGATCCGATAATTAACAATTTCAAGAGAGCCATTTCTGAGTGGATTATATACATTAATGTCCTTTGCTTCTTTGTTAACTCCAATAGAGGTTGGATATTGTGTATGAATAATATAATTAATATACTTGTCATATTCAATAGAAATAAAATATTTTTCAACTCAAATATCACATTGAAAAGTTATTGGATTCTTTTTCAGAATCATCTAATAATTCTTTAACAACACCAACAGAGATAAGATATTTAGCAACTACAAGATTACCTATTTATGATACCAAAGTAAGTGGAGTATATCCATTGTTATATCATTTAATTTTTTATCCCAATTTTACTATTCTAAGAATTTTTATTCACATGCTATATGAAGTAATTTTTAATATGAACAGAACCAAGATATCTCTTTTCCTAAGTTTAATTTTGATGTAATTATAGAAGAGTGGAAAAAAATTATGAGTAAGAACTATTGAATATGTTTATTGAGACAAGAAAAACACTAATGAAATTAATGTTTTCGCTATTTTTGATTCTTTGTTTAATTTCATAAATTATTGGAATTTCTGCATTACAAGCAGCAGAAGAAAAGTGAGATAGACTATTAGTGAATGTATTTAAGATGGTGTTTGTAAATATAACAGATAGATAAATTTTTGGAGATTTTTCATCAACGAAACATCCATCTAGTGTTAAAGTACCTCCATTAACACCACCAAAATAGCAATTTGTTGGATTATTATTAATAAAACTACTGTTTATTACATAAACTTTGGTTGAATATGCTTGAAGTATATCGCCATCATAGTTATTTAGCATATTACAATATTGAATCAGATATTGTTCTTGAGAACTAAAATGTCTCAATTTATAATAACCACCGCCTTTATATCCAGTTGTTGAATTAGAAAAAGTAGAAAAAGATGAATTTGATCCTTTGGTAAATTCTATAGCTTCATAGAAATCTCCTCGATAGATTTGGGAAAATGAAATGTTGATTGATTTAATCTGGATTTGACCATGTTTTAAATAAAAATTTTTATATCCGAAGAAACTTTCATTTCCGCCTTTACTTATAGATGAATCATAAATGTAATTTTTATTGTTATTGGTATTACTAACATCAATTTTACAATAAACGCCTAATGTTTCTTGTGAGTTTACTTTAGAAGCAAAACTACAAACTCTGTCTTGGACAAATTCGCCTTCTTGTTGGTAAAAAATACATCCGCCTTCATCGTTGTTACTGCAATAGTTAAATATTGTAGTATCAATGAGGAATTTGATTGTATTTTTTGTTGTGTTTAAGTAAACAGAGCCTTGTGTGTTAACTTGATAGAAAAAGCATGAAGAAACGTAATAATTGTGTTCTCTTGCGGTAAGTTTAAAATTATGTTGTCTGTATTCTTCATATGGTGTTGAATTTTGATAAAATTCTTCCCAATCTTCGCGATTTTTTCTTGTGGATGCATTTAATGATTGTAGTATAGAAAGTATTTAATCACCTTTATCTGGAAAACAAACACATGAAATAGTTTTTATCCCTAAAAAGGGATTTTCTTTTTCACTATTTCATAAATAAAAAATAAAAAAAAATTTATCGTCCCGATACATTCAATTTTTAAGAGTTTATTGTTCCATTGTAATGACATATCTTTTTCATGATTTAGCGATTGTCAAAATGCTACATGTATGCTATAGATTCAGTCAGCAAAATCATTACCGTACGCGTTTTTCTATAGCAAAATAATTATTGTTCTTTAATATTCGAGTTAACAACTATAAATGCGAGGAAGTAATACATACTTAAGTGAAGCTGAAAATAGAATCAAAATATTTAAATGATAATTATGCTAGATAAAAAATTACCATAAGATGTTTTTGAACAACAATGAACAAAACAAATATTAATATTTTATTGTTTTGAAGGAAGAGGATCATTGAATTCTTGATATTTTTTGTAAGAATTCTATAATCGGCTTTACCTCTTCTTCGTTAGTAGTGTTTTCAACAGCAGAATTCAAATTATCGATAATTTCTGTATTGTTAATGAGTTTAATAATTTCTTTTTCACTCTTACACTCAACATAATGTTTAAAAATAATATCAAGACATTTTAATGCTTTGATAGTATTGGTTCCGATGAAATTATCAATAACGTTAAGGATTCCTCGGTCAACTATGGTTTCAGCATAGATAAATTCATGACAATCAAGAATATATGTAAATATACCTAACAATGATGATTTGATGTCATTACAAGAGTTATCAATATAATTGATTAAAGAAAGAAAAATATTATCATTGAGATTTTGCATCGCAAGATCATGCAAACAATCGTTAATGCACCAATCTTCAATAAATCTGAGAGAATTGATTTTGTGTTCTTCTTCACTTTCTTTATCATAAAATATATCACATGCGATTTCAAACTGTTTAGTTTCATTTAGGATTTCGAATATTTGAGGTCGATCATTGCACTGTTTGATCAATGGCTCATGGAAAATACAAAACAAGTCTGAAGATCCTTCATAATTATTGCCTGCAATATTATAAATCAAATTAAGCAGAAAAATTTCACGCATAATTTTTTTCTGGGTGTTTTGGAATTACTGCTTTCAAAAATGTTTCTGCAAGATGCACTGTCCTAGAAATAAATGGTGTATACCTGTTAAAATATAATATTATACGATCAAACAATATTGAATCTGGATGGTGAATCAACAATTCTGTAAAAAATGTGATTGGAGCAGTTCGAAGGTCCAATCCAGAAAATTCTTCAACCGGAAATGAATTTACAACATTTTCATCTGTAAGAAAAGGTACTATCTTTTTCAAAATATAAAAATCATAACATATATCTTCCATTGAGTTGTTGAAGTCTAATGCAAAATTAATTAAATAATTAATAATCTTTTCTTGATTGAGAAATTGAGCTACATCTTTGTAATTAGATAAAGTACGTAATAATGAAAGTGCTTTTGAATGAATGTCAGATGTATTTTCGAACAAAATTTTTACTAATGTTTCAACAACACCAGAAGAAACGAATGATGAAGAATCAATTTTGAATTTTTTGTTTTCTAACATTGTTTCTAAGTGATCAAAATAATCGATTGATTCAGATTCTTTGACGTTCAAAAGTTTTTTTACAGCATCTTTAAATGCTTCTTCGCATGAATCATCTTTTTCATCGGGCTGGCATATGGCCTTTGATTTTTCGGTATTGCATTCGTCGCTATCTTTATATTCCATTAAAATTTTGGAGAGATGGGATTAAAACTTTGAAAATTTCTTAGCGAAAATTTACAACTTTACAAAATACGATATATTCAATTTTTTAAAGTAGATTGTTCCGTTATAATGACATATCATTTTCATGATTTAGCGTCTTTCAAAGTGCTATATGTATGTTATAGGTTCAGTCCGCATAATCCCTAAGTAAGTGTCCTTCTTTATCAAAATAAGTTATATCATAACTTCCAAAAATTGTGCTTTAATATTCGAGTTAATCACTATAAATGCGAGGAAGTAATACATTCTTAAGTATATGTGAAACAAAAAATATAATCAAAATAAATTTCCATAATATCATGTTTTGCAGGATACAGTTAAAATTACCATATAATTTTTCTGAACAACAATGAATAAAACAAATAGTGATATTTATAAAATAGAAAAAAAAGTATTCTTTAATTTTTAATTTTTTTTAAACACAAAATAGTTTCTTTGCATACATAGCAATGATGTTTGAAGGCAACTCTTCTCCTTCAAGGACACATGTAACACCAGAATCGTCGAAAACGACAGAAGCAAGAACAATCTGGTTGCAGATTCGAAGACCACCTGCAACTTTTCCTTTGGCACGTGCAATAACGTAGAACTTACGCTTGAACAACAAATCATTATCTGCAACTTTCTCGCCCTTCAATGTAACTGTTGCACCATCGGGGAACTCGGTCCACATATCGAGGAACTCGTTCTTCTTTGGTGAGAGCTTTTCAATGGCGTTTTTGAGTTTGAAAGGAACACTGAAGAAACAAACTCCGGAGCTTGTTCGAATAGCGACTTGTATCGATGGAGATGTTGATGACTTGTCAACTGCTGAAGAATCAAGTGTATATGGAACTTCGACTGTGATTTCTTCACTGACACATAACTTCTCTGGAAATCCAATGAAATTGTGGATAACGATACCGAAGATGTTCTTGTTCAATGCAATCGCAAGACCTGTGAGATCCTGACCTGAAATATTTTGAAGTTTAATTTCAATATTTCGTGGTCCGATCGCTGCACTCACTTTCAAGATTCCGTTTGTCTCGACTTCCTTCAGTTTGAGTGTAAGTGAGTCTTCCATTGCGATGTAAACTGTTTCTGTAGTGAAATCAGATGGAACAATGTGTAAAACTCCTGAAACCGATCCGATGTTAGAAATAAGTGTAGAAAGGACTTCCTGTGAATAGTGTGATGAATCCCATGTACATGTCTTCTCAACATTAACAATGTCTTTCATTTCTTGTGGATGATTTGACAAAATAGTCCAATAAATGAGAGCTCTGTTTCGGACGTCTGGCATAATATTGTCCTTCTGGCATGCATCTAAAACAAACTGAAGTTGGTCTTTTGATCTCTCTGGATTGTTAAGATAACATTTGATTAAAGCCGTGACAAGTGATAATTGGACGAATGGAGATTCATCTTGGAAGCTGTCTAGGTAGGGATCAAGAATAACATCGGCGTTGTCAATTAAATGACAGTATTCTCCGAGTATCCAAATAAAAGAGGATTTTGCATCTGAACTCTTGATTTGATCGCAGCTCTGGCATACAATTGCGATTGTACCATCGAATTTCTTTGGATATTTGCGTAAAATGTCTGGTAAAACGATAATACTTTGTTCAATAGCGTAATCTGCCTTTCCTTTGATCAAATCGACAAGAATATCGATACACTTTGTAGCAGCATTTTCGAATTTGAGAGCGATTTGTGATAATGTCTTAATTGCTTTCTTTGCGAAATGAACATCGATATCATTGCAATATTCTTGGAGTTCGTCCAATGCTGTGCGTAATGTACCTTCAACAACAATGTTTGAGATGATACTGAGCTTCTCAACTTTGATATAAGATGGATCATTGTATTTGCAGTAGAAAGTAGCAATGCTTGAGGCCAAACTCTTCGGATATTTCTGAGAGAAGAGTGAAAGAGTCCTAAGAAGTACAAATTGGATCTCAGGAGGAGTAGATCCGACTAAAGCAAGTAAAGGTGGCAAAACCTTTGTTAATATCTCTCCAATATCGTGAATATCGTATTCCATATATATGAAAATGCACTTGAAAGCACCGATTACTACTGCAGGATTGCTACTCATCATCAAAGTAGCGAATCTCTCTATCAACATATGGGCATCACTAGATGATTCAGGTAGGTATGTCGAAAGAGCGTCGAGTAAATTGATTTGGCACCATTCGGATGAATCAGAAAATGCATTCAAGAGATAAACAATGTTTGTGGAGTCCAATTTCATGATTGGTGAGGATCTGAGGGAATTTATTTCGCAAATAGCAGCAATTGCGTTCGAAATTACAAGAGGATTGTCATCTTTGAGCAAATCAATTAAAGATTTATAAATATCAATGCTTTCAACGGTTTCAGGAATAGTACTGAATATCTTAGCAACACCCAAAGCAGCTGTTTTCCTCACGTAAGGGTCTTTATCTTGAAGTGATTTTTTGACTTGCGCGATTATGTTTTCGGCAAATGCTTCGATCTTAATTTTTGTCATCGATCTGATAGCAAGGGATCGAACAAGCGGATTATAATGTTCACTGTCCTTCAACATTGCACTTACCGCCATAATCGATTCTTCTTCTTCTGACGTCGAATACGTTAATATATAGATATATACAAGACGTTTCAATTCTAAGTCATCGGTATTTATGGATCTCAACATAGATGAAAATAAAATTGAACAATCTTCACCACTTCTCATGAGAGAAACGACTCGCTTCGCAGCCTCTTTTCTAAGTTTAGTGTCATTGCCATCTAGTTTCTCTCTGAGCTCTAAAAATTCTCCTTTTAAGTTGCTGGATTCCCCGATCAAATTCGTCATAAAAAGAAATAATTCAATTAAAAATTTTTTGTGAGAACCTTATTTTACATCTTTTCAATTTTCCCTGTTGTAAATTTGAACTATAAGCGATAATATGAATAACTAAACTGTACAACCTATGAAATTGACGGGAGTGATAAATTAGATTGCAAATAATGTTTACATTAAAAATGCATCATAAAACATAGAAAAAAAGCAAAGATAGTTTATATCCAGGTAATCTCTTCAAATATTAATTAAAAATAGCTTTAGGATAGAATAATACTGCTCTTATATATACTGAGGTTACAAATCAATGCATGCTAAATCGGTAAAATATCTTAGAGTAGGGGTAATTTTAGCTAAAAGTGACACACTTGTAAAAAGTGACACACTCATGAAGGGTGTGATTACCGATCGGTAATTTCGACAGTTTAGAATTTAAAATTTTTTATGGAACTGTTGCGAGTTTCATAAAGAATTTAAGGAATATAAGCAAAGATTTGAATCAAAATCTTAGACCTAAGCCGCTCGATTCGCTCGCGGCTTCCGCGAATTACAGATCAGCAAAGATTTGAATCAAAATCTTCGAACTAAGCCGATCGCTTCGCTCGCGGCTTTCTTTATTATTTTAAATTTGCATATTTCCATCAAAAGTTCATAAGGTAAAAAATTTCGTTTATTTTTACTAAGAAAAAAAAGGTTTTTGATAATAAATTTATTTTATTTCGAAAAAGTAGCAATAATCGTAAAAGGGTATTGATAGGCTTGCTAAAGTAACTAATTTTAGCTGTCAAATACTTTTGTATTTTGAAGTAAATTAGTATAAATTTGTTTTTACTTTTATTTCGAAAAAGTAACAATAATCGTAAAAGGGTATTGATAGGCTTGCTAAAGTAACTAATTTTAGCTGTCAAATACTTTTGTATTTTGAAGTAAATTAGTATAAATTTGTTTTTACTTTTATTTCGAAAAAGTAACAATAATCGTAAAAGGGTATTGATAGGCTTGCTAAAGTAACTAATTTTAGCTGTCAAATACTTTTGTATTTTGAAGTAAATTAGTATAAATTTGATATTATTTTAACTCCCTTTGAAAACCTCAATTTTCCATACAGAGGGAACGGGAATAGCATCCAATATTCCCTGAGAATGGTTGCACATTCTCAGTTCCCTCTATATTTCGAACGAAGCTCTCATCGGTCTTTTTTTTAATACTAAACGTTTTTTTCCCCTGTCACTTTTAGCTAAAATTTGGGTTTGCCAAATATCTTATGATTGGAGTTATTTCTTTGAAAAATAAGGAGAAAATCAATCAACTTATTAATCTAAACAAATATTTTACCATGATAACAAATACACACATTTATTAGAGATATTCAGACATCAAAAAAACATGAGGTAACGGCTGATCAGAAATCTTTTTGGATTTTGAAATAACAGTTACTTGAGTAAATTCAGATTCTTCTTTTTCGAGCTGTTCGGCTTCTTTTTCTTCATTATAAATATCTTGCATAAGTAAATTAAAACGAGAATCACACTCCCATCCTTGAAATTCTATATCAGCAATTCTGCATTTTTCAATAAGTATATCGTTTTGTATCTTCTCATCACGTTCGTACTGAGTTATCAAAACGGTCGAATGTTTTTGCGAAGCAGGGCGAGCTTTTTCTGTTAATATAATTTTTTGATTATCTTTTAATCCAAGACCCTGTATTGTGCAACTTCCACAAAGGACTTTTCCGGCAGATACAGGAATGAAATAGCTGTTTTGTTGAGGTAGTATGTTGTTTGACTTTAATGCATCGTTAAGTGTATCATTGATATCTACGCATATTGTCTGAAATGATCCAGATAGCTTTCCTACTTGTAATTTCATTTATGAAAAATAAGTCGAATTGAAAAATTTGAAAGAATTAAATTCAGAGAGTTAATATGTAAAGAAAAAATCAAAAGTAATGGTGTTGCCAAACATATTCATAATTTCGATTTTTTCCGATAAAAAGCTTATTTTCAATGTCACGCGCTTAATTTTTGTATACATCCTATTGAAAAAATAATTAATATTCGGGATATAATGTAAGGATGTTTAGAATAAAGAATAACCACGACAAAACAAATTTTGAAATTGAATGGGGTTATTTTTTGAGAAATGACAATCATATATCGATATATTATTGTCATATGCATACAGCATAGTATTTCTTTGGAAAATTGCGCAAAATTTAGACAGTAATTCGAAACAGCGATTGCAAAATATCGGAGAATTTCAACAGATAAAATATTAAAACATAAGATATACTTGCTCAATTAATTTGATAGACAACATTTGTTTTTTGATGTTTAATTTAGTCAATTGAAATAACCATCCAAACATTCCTGCTGTTTAACCAATTCTTTATATAAGCTCGATAAGCCAAATACTGACACTTCATTACACATGCGACAAACGGTACACCTTAAAATTCTATTGTAAAATAATATTTCATGATAGATGAGGAGTTAATCATTAAATATCAAATAACCGAATTAACAATACTTAAAATAGGAAAATTACTAGCAAAATCAAAGAAAATACTAAATATTCAAATATAGGGGCAAATGTAATAATTAGAAAGCTCAAATAATCAAATAATCAAATTGATTAGAAATTTAGATAATGATGATTGCATTTTCAGCCTTTTTCTGACAAGAAAAATTATTCATCTGTCATTGAACTCAAAAAAGTTTGGGAAACTCATACGAGTTCAAGGCGGATTAATTAATACTTGGTTCAGTACTAATTCAAATTATTTAATAATTTTTATTGAAGAAGGATAAATGCATAGCATATTTCAATCCATGTAGTTTTTAATTACAAAAAACTCCTAAATTTGCCAATGTGAAATTTTTTTTTGAATAACAATTCCTAATTTCTTGAAATCTTAACAGACATGATATTAGTTAAATGTTTTCCCAAAGTTCAATCATTGAAGTAATATTAATAATTCTTGAGTTGTGTATATTTGATTGAAGAAGACTTGTTGCTGTATGAATGTAACTAAAAGGTAAAGTAGCATAAATTCAAAATCTATCTTGGCTTGCAATCTTTATTGGATGTATTTTTGACCAATTTATAAAAACCGAAAAAAAAAATCTCGGTAGGTATTCCATAATTTTTTGAACAATCATATTTAGATTAATTCATATCTTATCAAAAGACATTTAGTTGATATATTTGACTTTGGCAAAAAAATCAAAAATGATGCATTTTTGCATCATACATTGCAAGACCGTTAGTTAGGGATATGAATTACAAATAGTAAAAGAATACCTTATATTTCTTTTAGTTATTTGAAATTTTGAATGATTCAAACGATAGAAATTAAAACTCATTGAAATATTTTATATTCAAGTAATTTTGCTATGCTATAAATGTTCAATATAATTATTAAAAATTAAATTAAACTGAAAATAATTTAAAAGAATCGAGTATCACTTCTATATATATTTTTTCATGTTAAAACAAATTTCTAAAGTCTTGAAATTTATAATTGCAAATATTACGCAAACTTGCATCATAGCCTAGAATTTTTCTTTCAAAAATCTATTTATGATGTTTCTTCTTGCAACCCTTGTTTCTTCGATAGAATTTCTTGGCAGACAAAAAGACTCAGTATGGTATATTGATGGAGCTTTCAGCGATTCGACATACTTTGTTTACGAATGCCAATTTCATGATTGCGGTATTAAAGAAGGAAAATCAACAATTCACTTCGAAGGAGATCATGCAGATGCATCAATTACTGTATATGCAAGTATAATTGAAAACGGAAAAGGCTGGATGGGTGGTGGCATGCGTTTTCAAGGCAATTACCACTTAAATTTAATGCACAATTGCATTATTTCATGCATCGTAGGAGGTGGACAAACAGGATCAATAGTATATGTAAATGTTAATCAAGGTTATAATGTTACCTATCTTTCAACAATAAAATGCGGCGAAAGTAACGAGCCACTCTCATTATATAATTTTCAGTCACTAACAAATAGTAACATCTCATCAGCTACTGCGTACAACTATAGATTCAGTAAAGGTACATATGGTGTCGTTTATTTGGATTCTGATTTACAAGGTTGTGATTTTTCCTACTGCACAGTCCAGGGAAATAAAAGCCCACAGACCATTATTTACTTCTATAAAATGTCCAATAGAATGGACTCCAAAAGATGCAATGTATTAAACAACACTGTTGATTCCTATGGCGTAATTCTATCTGATGATTCAGATGTACACATACTAGAGTACTACATCTATGGCAATTCAAGAGGAAGCTCCCAAACATATTACGCACATAACACTTTTGGTTATATAACTGTTGAAAATTGCTCCGCAGATGATTCATCATATCACAACTATCTTGCCTATAATAGTGTTGTTTTCGTTGGTACACAAGTTCATCTCACTAAAGATGAACATAAGATTATGCAACACTATGGAACATACTTGTGCCATGCAGATTATCCATATCCAAGAATGACAGGAACATTTGCAGCTACACCAGTCGAAACAGTTGCATCAACACCACATGTAACTGCTATAGAAACACCAGTAGAAACTGTTTTTAGTACTGCTCATAAGACACCGTTTGAAACAATGTCTTCAACACCATTTGTAACAGCTGTAGTAACTCCTGTTGAAACACCATTCACAACAGCATTTGAAACTCCATTTATCACTGCATATTCAACACCATTCATTACTAATCATATCACTCCAGTTGAAACTCCTTACAAGACTGCTTTCGAAACAGCTCATAAAACACCATTCCAATCTAATGGAATAACACCATTTAATATTCCATTTAACACTGCTTTCGAAACAGCATTTACTACTCCATTTGATACAGCATTTTCCACACCATTTTCAACTGCGTTTGAAACACCACATTCAACACTATTTTCAACTGCATTTGAAACACCACACTCAACACCATTTTCAACTGCTTTCGAAACAGCATTTTCCACACCATTTAATGCAGCTGTTGAAACAGTATTTACTACTCCATTCCAAACTAATGGAAATACTCCATTTGAGACAGTGTTTCAGAGTGCTTTTGAAACTCCATTTGAAACTCAGTTTTCTACTCCATTTAGTTCTGCTTTTGAGACACCATATTCAACACAATCAACAACACCATTTGAAACAGCTTTTTCAACACCATTTAGCACAGCAGAAATGACACCAATAACTCCAGTTCAAACTCCAATTGTTATACCTCCAACTCCAAAGTCAGAAGAGAAAACACCTGTTCCACCAACAAAGGAATCTGAATCTGGATCATCTGAATCTTCGTCGAAAGAAGTTCCAAATGGTTCATCAACAGCAGGCCAACAAAACGACCAAAACAACACAAAATCTGATAAGTCAAAGTCCAAGTTCAACTGGATAATAATTGCAGTTGTTTGTGTTGTAATTGCTATAATTGTTGCTGTTGCAATCTATTTATACATTAGAAAACATAGGGATGAATCAGATTCAGATACATATAGTCAAGAATTTCAAGTTGAATCTGCCATTACAATTCCTACTGATGCTCCATCAGTCACCTGCGATAATCCATTGTTTACTACTTCAATTACTAGTCTCTCTGATGATCCATTTAGAAACGATTTCGAAGAGTCAGGATATGTTGGATTCATGCATATTGAACATTAATTTATATCTATTTATATGTTTATTCATGAATTTTTGTTTGATAAAAGTAATTCTTTATTTTAATTGCAATTTTTTTAATGATAGAAACACAATCAGTTATTAAAAGAGTTTGTTATTAATAATGACTATCATTATAATACGAAAAACTCATTCAAATATTGAATTATTTTCCAAAGGAAATTTAACAAGTTTAACTCTTAATGTAATAGATTCCTTACATAGAGTATTAGTGGATCATTTCTTGAGTTTCTCTTATTGTTCATTAAGAATTGATAAATTAGAAGCCAGCAATTTGTGCTCATATAGTTTTCAACGAGAAAAACATATTTTTAAGAAAATTTCCTATTTTAAAGATAAAGCATAAAAATGATTAACTCACATCTATGGAATAAAGTTATGTAATTCGAACCTTTTCATAAAACTTCTATAAGCAAGACTTAAATATGAGTATGGCATCCCTCAAAAACGATCTTTTATAATTCCGACAATATCTTCTTGAATTCGAATATTTTTTGAAAAATTCATAATTTTTGAAATATCATTTAGGAATCATTCTACTTCACAAAACCTCTTCAATACTTTTGACGAGCAACCAAACGTGACAACAATTTGAGATCTCATGAGAAGGCGCAGGTTATCTCAGACCTCCAGCCTCCAACAGCTATGCGAAGATATGAATTGGGAACTAGATCCACTTGCGCGCACAGAGGATATATTCGAAATTGTCGAAGAGATCGGAAAAGGCGGATTTGGCTCAGTTTACAAAGTTCGACATAGACAATCTGGTTTATGCCTAGCAGGCAAAACAATCAATCCAGATGTCCTTACCGGATCTGCATCTGAGTCAATTGTCCGAGAAATCGAGTTAATTAAAAAGATTACTACAGCATATACAATTCAATTTTACGGAAATATAATATATAATGACGAACCTATGCTATTAATGGAGTACTGTGACCGTGGATCGCTAAGAGATATCTTAGATTTCCGTGGCGAAACATTAACTGAGCAACAAGCGGCTTTCGTCATAGCAGATCTTCTCACAGCCGTCCACATACTTCATACTAAATACAAAATACTTCATCGCGACATCAAAGCTGGAAATATTCTCTTAAATTCGAGCGGCCAAATAAAAGTAACAGATTTTGGTTTAAGTACAGAGTTTTCAAACGGGAAGTTCAATACATTCACCCCAATGGGTACGCCTTATTGGATGGCCCCAGAAGTTATCAATGGAAAGCCATACAGCTTTCCTGCCGACGTTTGGTCGATTGCAGCGACGGCAATCGAGTTGATTGAAGGTGGCCCGCCATACTACGAGCTCGAACCGACAAAAGCTATGCTAAAAATCGCAAGATCAGGATTTCCAGGTTTCCGCAATCCAAAAGCTATGTCTAAAGAATTTAAAGATTTTATTTCACACACCATGTCCAGAGACCCTAATAATCGCTGTACAATACCTCAATTACTTGAACATCCTTGGATACAACAGATTACGAAGCTTGATAGAACAATAACGTTAGCTCCAATAGTTGATACAGTAGTAGACAGAAAACAATTGAAGGAAGTCGTCGGATCTCAAGAAACTCCATGGCGATCGTTCCATTTAAAGTCTACTAATGTGGAAAAAGATTCTTAATAAACAATATTATTTTTGTAGGTAATTGTTCGTTAATATTTTTAAATTTTATTTGATACCGTAAAATATTTTGTTTTAATTTTAAATTTCACATCGAACCATTACGTACATCCAAAAACATACTTAATTTCATCGTTAAAAAAGTATATAACGAACATATATTATATGAAATATTGAATATGGATATGAAATATTATATAATATGAAATATTAAATGTGAATATGAAATATTATATAATATGAAATATTAAATGTGAATATATATTCCAAGGCTTTAAGCAAAATGATTATTTTGCACATATATATTGATGTCACAATATACAAAAGGACTTAGGACATTTATCGAGAAAAAGGGGCATTGACAAAGATGGAATCCATTAAATTATCAATCTCCGATGCCCATTGGTAGATTTAGTTTAAATACTGATGATAAAGGTTATTCAAGACAATAAAATGAAAAGTATGTGAAAAATAAAAGAGCAATATCATCCAAATCAATATGTCAAAACTACCAATATAACAGATCAAATACCACTTAGACTGAATGTCTTTTAAAGCTAATAATAAGTAATAAAGCATAAAATCTAATTTTGTATGGATGAAAATTGGCATTTTTTGCTTAGACTTTGGTATTAAAAATGCAAATAGGCAATAAACTATATAAAGAAACTGTTTTTATTTATACATTGTATATAACATTTTCAATTTTTGATTCTTTCCTCCCATTCTTGAGAATTTGCAGTTGCGCGCTTCATAAGAATTGGAAGCATGCGTGGCTGTATATATCCTTCGAAAAATGTAGAAATTATCTTTTGAGAATCGATTTCATAAACAAAAGTAGCAGCGCCATCATAAAGTTCTTCTTCACTGGCATTTGGATCATTCACTAAGATATCCCCCTTTACAGCTAAACTTGAAGCTGCAAGTAAATGGTTCATTTCAAAACCTGCATCAACTAAAGCTAAAATCGTTGCATTAACTGCGCAAGCTTTCAGGCCACCATCATCGCATACAATGGTAACACTAACTTCGAGATTAGAATCTGGATAAGCATCGCATTTGAGTGAATTTTCGATTGCATCAGCAACTATTTTATTAATTGTTGGATTTTCTGGATATGATTTCGCTTTGATGTTTACTTTGCCTGTTTCTATTTCACGGAAAACCATCTGTTTTGGACCAACAATATTAACGATTACTTCTGTTTTTCCGACTCTAACACGTGATGATCCCTGTGAAGAAATGCATAAGCCTTTCTCACAAGCAATTTCACGCTCCTCTTCGTAGACTCTTGATGTATCAAGTCTATCCATAAAATTTTTTGTCTTCGAAAAAAAAAATTGCCTGAGTCAAGGAAGTGCACTTAGGTCTCTTTGGAATCATCGACCAGAATAGTACCCATTAGGTTTAATAAATGGAGACTAGCAATATCATATACAACGCCATTGAATTTCACTCGTTCTATGAATTCGATATCTGATTGCTAAGACAATGCTGTAAAAATCCTCCATCTAAGCTTGTTAGCATTAATAACTCATAATGGAAATAGACATAAAATGATTAATGCTATCTAGACTCAAGTCAAATCACTTCTTTGTAAGTTCTTCTTCCGCAGATCTGACCTGCGAAGGAACAAATCTGTAAAAGTTTGAAGAATCGAATGATTTATGGCAATGAGTAGTTATTCTGATGAATTGGTCGTATCTGAGCTTTTTTATTGAAAATAATAGCTTATAAGAAGTTTTAGTTTCAATAGAAGGAATTTAAACTAATTACTTTATAAAAGAATAATAAAATGTAAAATTTTGAAAAATAATTATTTCTTCTTGAATTCAGCAGCAATTTCCTTACCGGTCTGGTACAACGAGATGCAGATAGACACAACTGTGAAGCAAGCAATGATCCAAGCGACAATAATTCTCCATCTTGGCTCATTTCTTTGATTTCTGATGTAGAAAATTGCTGGCATAAAGAATATAATCGTTGGTGTAAAGAAACCACCGACAATATCGAAGAAAATAATTACGTTTTCAGATGTTGCAGCTAAACCTGCAGCGCAAACGGAAATAATGGTTCCAACAGTAATCCATCTGCATGTTGTTGGTGGCTGATCCTTCCAAATGAGGTTGAGAACTGAATTTCTGGCTGCCCAAACAACAATCGGAACAGAAAGGATTAACATGAAAATAAGACCAACGAGGGTGATCTTTGTAAAGATATTCTTTGATTCGTAGCATTCGAGTGATGATCCTTCGATTTTGTCGAACAAATCAAAATATGTGAAAATTCCGAAAATGTTGTAAAGAACATAAGCTGAAACAACTGTTGTCATAGCAAGCTTTCTTGCACGACCAACTGTAGCCATTTTCATTGGTTCTAAGGCTGCAAAAAGATTCATATGGCAGTTATAAGCCATTGAATTAACAGAAAGTGATGTAATTGCGGCAGCATTGAAATGTACCCATCTGAATTGTCCATTTGGATCAAAACCATTCTGGTGAATGTGAACAATCATCCAATACAAAGCATGAACGATTAAAAGAATGATTGTGAAGGTAGATAAGACGGCAAGCTTCTCAAGAATATGGATGGACTTAAGACAAACAAGTGGAACTGAGAATGTGATGGGAATTACGATAGTCCAAAATCTAATGCTTCCTAATGGGAATTTCATACCAGATGTACCTAGTAATTTCGGTGTTAAACGACCATTCCAAAGGGAATAGATCATTGATGCTCCTAATTGGACACATGTAATCATGACATTAATAATCCAAAGTCTGTTCTTACCAAATGTATGTGCGAACAATCCTCTGTAATCATATGTATGAGTGAAGTAACCGGACTCTGCCATAAACGAGAGTGTAAAGTATCCGATTGTTGCAAAAATAAAAGAGGTAAATAATGAAAGGGCTACACCTGATCGATAGCAATATGGAACCATAAGAGTTCCTGATCCGATAGCAGTATTTAAGAGCAACTGAAATGCGTCAAATAATGAAGTATGTTCGTTCATCGGCTCGTGGAAAATGCGCTGATCTTCGATACCGGTCATGCCTGTTGTTTCCTCTTTACTATAAAGTTCTGCCTCAAGAAGGGATGCATCGTTCATTCCAATCATCTTTTTTTTATGATGATGTCAGTTTTTATATCTTGAATTTTGATTTCCCACCGTAATTTTGATATAACCGGGATATAGATAATAAAAATATGTTGTGGCTTAAAAGTGACACATCAAAAATTGAATAGGAAGATAAGTTTGAACTCATCGTATTTATTTCACATGAACTTTTAAGAAATCTTGACTCTTAAAGTTTATGTACAAGTAAATATGAAAATATCTATTCCAAAATTCGAAATTTTGAATTCGAATAAAAATTGATTGTAGCCAGTACATCTAAAAACAGGTTTTTTAATATATACGTGCTGTGAATAACTGCGTTGACATCAAATTGATAGTAATTAAAGGGGAACAGGACAAATTTGCCACACGGCACTTTTTTTAAAAAAAATTAATGGAGCGGAGCGATACTCTGCTGCAGGAGCCCCAAGGCTCCCAATCATTACGAAAGGGAGCCTCAGGGCTCCTGAGAATCCATCAGCAGAGGCCTTTTCATTTGGCCTCTGCTGATCAAAGATTCGGCGAAGCCATTCTTCGTCTCAGGAGCCCAAGGCTCCCAATCATTACGAAAGGGAGCCTCGGGGCTCCTGAGAATCCATCAGCAGAGGCCTTTTCATTTGGCCTCTGCTGATCAAAGATTCGGCGAAGCCATTCTTCGTCTCAGGAGCCCCAAGGCTCCCAATCATTACGAAAGGGAGCCTCGGGGCTCCTGAGAAACCTCTTTGAGAAGGTTTTCTTAAAGAAAACCTTCTCAAAGATGATTGTCAGCATTCACTCAAAATCTACCAAGAGTTTCAAAGTTTCAAATCTATCTGAAATGAAGCTTTGAATTTCTTGTATATCTAATTGTAGAGGTACCTTTTCAAAATGTCTTCTATTGATTAAATTTAATCAGTAAAAGTCATTTTGAAAAGGTACATCTCTATAATTGCTATTGAGCATTCACTCTTGGAACCTTGGAGCTCTTGTGTAGTGCATGAAAACTCCAAGATTCTAGCATAAAACATATATCATAGACATAATTTCTTCAAATATAATTTAAGGTTATTTTTAAAAAACGAGAAAAGTGTAATTTAAGGTTATTGAAAGTGACACTTGGCAAATTTGTCCCGCACTCGTAATTAAAGCATTTTTAAATTTCTTTATTTAAATTTGCTAGAGGTAGGGCAACGATAGGTCAAAAAGGCTTCTCTGATAGATTTCCTTGCCTTTTGGATATGCTATAATATATAGCCTAGCATGATAGGATATGATGTCAAAAGTTAGAACATAACTTAGGATCTTGAGAAAAATGAAAAACAAAAATTACATAAAAAAAGAAAAATTTTATCTAATTTGTTTTTTTGGACCGAATAAGTAATTTTATTGAATTTCAATACGACACATAGATTTTATTATTAGTAATAAATATAATGGTTTACTATTAACAAGGAACCTAAACTAATGAAAATTTGATTTCAAATATTGTATATGATTATCATAGATTACCAAAATATATTGCTATTTATGAGGATATAATATTGATTATTAGTAAATCAGTACAGTATACATTGTGCGTCGCCTGTAGCCTACAGCTACAGTCACCGACACAATGAAAAAAGTGACAGAAAACTGACACCATACGGGCGCGCATATGTACGCATATATGTGTAAAAATAAACGTTCATATGTAAACTAACCTTTATTCACTAGCAGGGGCTGATAAATCATAATCGTCGAGAAGTACGATAGGTGGTCCCACCTGTTTAATCTGTATGGAGAGGCAAACGTGACGTAAGAAGCATAACACTGGTTTCTCAGTATATTTAATAGACTCTGCTGTTGGCTTAACTGTAAGCTTATATGTAATAGGTGAATTAGATAACTGACCCTGTTGGAATGTATAATCAGTTTCGCAAGGGAATCCACATAGGTAATGACCTAAGTCATTTGACTCGATTCCAAATTGAGGGACTGATGTGGTTGTGATAGACCTCATGACATCATAGTTGAAGCCAACAGTATCGTTATTATTGTTAGTGGCATTTGCCTGCATCTCATAGAAGATTGGATCATTAGATGCTTGAGCCTCAGCGGGTATGTTACCATATGCTCCACAGTTCAATTGAATTTGTTCAAACAATGGATTTTCATAGGTAGTGTTATAATTAGGTGTTTTCTTAAATAGTGTATAAATGGTGTTCACATATAATGGAGTAAATGCTGCCGTGAATGTACAAGGAGTTCCTTCACCTTTAGCCATTGAACCATCCATAGTAATGCAGTCAATTCTTTTTGATTGGGAAGTTTAGAGTCTTTGCCGAATATCTTGTCACACCAAATCACTATAGATGTTAGGGTCCAAAGAGAATGAGTTACAGTATGTAATCATTTCAAAGAAGTTTGCATTCTTCTTAGTGAACTTAATAAACTTGGTACCAAATGATATCGTACTCTTATCGGCATTCCAAGTTACAGTATCAATAACTTTGATACCTTCATAGATAGGAGTGAAGTGATTAGTGATTGGAATATAGCTTTGTAACATTGGCTTGCATGTTCGGTAATGGTAGAATATCCTGATAACTTAATGGTGTCCAAACCATACCAGCAATACTGAACTTAACCTTAAGTTGTAAGTTTACCAGCAAAGCGCTGGAAGGAATCTAATGTTATTAAGTATTAGGAATCTTCTTAGGTCAATCTGTGTTGTGTGTGGAACTTAATGTAGTTGCACCACTAATTGGTTTATTGAACTCAATAATCTGTCCAGAACGAACTGTATCACATCTATTGAAAACATCTTTATGTCTAGCCTTACTAAATAACATCAACTTTCTTAATAGCTTCTGTTGTAGATGCAGTAGAAGTAATGTAACCTTCTTCTCTAGCATTATCTTGTGTATAAACACTTTTACCATTAGCGATTAATTGATATGATTCAACAGCATAGAATGAATCAATGTATCCCAACCAAATTGCTGGAAGATGTGCACATGATTTGCCACCAGCATATTTAGTATCAATTGCTTTAATTGCTGTAACATTTGATCCTGTAGGAGCTGTCTCAACAGCTCTTTCTTTATATACTTCACATCATATTTAGGAACTTTTTCATCAGCTGGTTCAGTTCTGTTGTAATTATGCACTCACCATCGACATAACCACTAATGAACGTATTATATAAGTCAATCATGTTCTCACACAGTGGTGATATGTTAAATGTAATATAACCGTTATCAATAGTATTTGTCGCATAGCTGGCACTTTTGTTGGGACATATCTATGGTTAGTATCTCCAATAGGAACTGCCCCATCAACTTGATCGAAATAATATCTTACTTGTCTGATGGAATCAGCAATACTGTATGTATTGAGGTTATCGTTCAACATCTTTCTCAGCTATAAAAAATTTACAATCTTCTTATTCTTGGGATTATTCGTCTTATTTGTGGCTGAGGTTTAGGAGGTTCTGGTTCAGGCTCTGGTTCATCATCGAAGTGTATTCTTTTCTCTTCCATTGATTGAACATATTCTTGATTCTCTTTAGTTTCCTTCTCACGTTCAATTGGGTCCATGTTTGGTTCATTAACTACACTGTTACGTTCTAATATCTTTGTCATCATCTCTAACAACATTTTATTAGTATATGCTTGTTCTTCTTCTTTCTTCTCATCAACTTTAGGAGCTTCTTGAACAACAGGAGCTGGGGCAGGAGCTGGTGAATTCAATGGTGCCTTTCTCTTTCTAACTTGAACTGAACCATTCTTCATATGACAAACATAATATAATGGATGTTGTATTCCTTTAGCTTCATTCAATATGATTGATTGCTTTTCACTTGGTGAAAGTTTTGACGTCATTTCTATCCTAATAAAATTTTTTACTCCTAACAAAATGACTGAGAATACTTTCGACAGAGAAGCACTCAAGAATGAACTTCGTGAAGAAATACTTAATGAACTCAAACCAAAAGAACAAACACAAGAAGAGAAACCAGCTAAACCAAAGCGTAAACTCACAGAGAAACAATTAGCTGCATTAGCAGCTGGACGCGCAAAGAATCCACGAATGATTGCAAAGAAATTGAGAGAAGAGGAAGAAGCTAAGAAAAATAATAAGTAAGTGTTTAGAACTTTAACTTACGTTCAAAAGATGACTTCGTTGAAATAGTGAAGTCCTTATTTTTGTTGAAGCATGGTTTCGAACCAATGCACAAGTCAAAGGTTATCTCATCACCTTCATAAAGAGATTTGTACAATTCCACGATGCTATATTTTTCCCCAACTTTCTCAGGGAAGAACAAACCTTTCTTCTCGTCATAATGTACTTGTATCGCATCTGGGAACATTTGGTTTGCAGTAAGTGCAATTACGTCCTGTGTGATTCCCTTCATTCGACAGTGGAAAGCAATTTCCTTGAGGTCATTGGTTAATTCGTCGAGGTAAGTCTTCTTTCCAACGAATATAGATCTTTGTGCCTTAGACATATGTCCTGCAGTAATCTCTGCAAAGTCTGAATGAAATTGACCCAGTGCTTTTCCAATGAGTTCTCTGTTATACCTTCTCTTGTATTCTTCTGCTAACTTATCTAAGTCCTTCTCATACAAGTGTAAACTATCTGTATCCTGATAGAACAACTTCAAGCCCAAATCTTCTGCTGTGAAGAATACTTCATTCATGATTCGTTTGGACATAGAAAGGATTGAAACACCTAATGGACAATAGTTAAAGTGACGAACGATAGGTTTAAATGACTTTACACATGAAAGTTCGGAATCGGGGATGAACTCTATTGTCTGTATGTCATTATAGTTCTTAATGATATAGTCAGTGAGCTTATTGTCCTTGATGAAACGAATCTTTTTGTCAATGGGCTTTAATATCGTCTTACCATAGATACTGTTCAAAAGAAGTTTGATGATCTCTTGTATCGGATTACCTTCCTTCTTATACTTAGCACGTAATTCGAAGAGCTTCTTAACTTCATTCCTTATTGTCATGTCCCTTTTTCCATCATAATAGTATCCATCAATGACTTTGCATGAGATCTCTTGGAACTTGATCAGATCTTGAAGCGTAATGTGGTCTACGAACATCTTGCAGCATGTATTGGAACTTCTGGCAACATGTAAGTCAGGGTTGATGTCAGGATTGACGACAATCAATGGGAATGCTGAGTTCTTACCGATCGACAAGATCTCGATCTGACAGTAAAATCCTGAGATGAACTTTTCCTTTGTTGGTTCAGCTTGGTCATCATCAAAGAGATGCTCCAACAAGTATTCACTGCTCTTCATCTCTTCTGTCATAACTTTTGGAATTCCTTCTAAACAGTAAAGTCTAGCAATTGCTGATGGATACAATGATACAGCATCGAAGTCAGTGATGAGTTCTCCTTCATTGTATTGCTTCTTGTTCTCAGCTAGCATGCATCTTCCTCCTTGAATACACTTGGAAATATATTCACGAGGTTTTCCTGCAAGATCAAAGAGATTACCGTTCTTCCAATATACTCTCTTCTCAAAGAGTTTGTTTGAGATAGAACTTATTGAAACATAATCATAAGCATCTATTTCAAACTCAGTCATGAGGTCATTGCGGAACTTAAGAAAGCCATCTCGTAAAATGCGTACATCTTGACCGCAATAGAATGACGAATAAACTTCCATGTCAAAGTGTTCATCATCAATCTTGCAATCTTCAATCTTCTCAATGTTCTCATTAAAAGCTTCAATATCTTTGACATGATTCATGGCATCATCGATGTTACCAACTTTAGTTGTATTAACTAACTCTTCCGTGTAGTAATTATATGGGAAAACTTCTTTTTCACCACTAGTGAGGTGAAACATTTCAGGGAATCTTTCCAACTTAGTTGAGATGATTGCATAAGAGTCTTTGAAGCAGAGAAGTTTTCCTTTGTACTTTCCTTGTATCTGCATCGTTTGTGAACCTTTGATGATTGGAGTTCCTGTAATCTCTTCTAACTGAGACATGAGAAAAGTGACATCGTACGATAAGTTGTGGAAATAAACTAAACTCTTATCTGGTAAAGCTTCGAGGAATTTTGACGCACAGTCACTTCCCCAAATTGATGTATAACCATCATCGTCATCTTCCATGAAACAAATGTTGTATGCTTTGTGAATGTTTCCATCAGTTGATGCTTCGAAGTCAGCAAAGAAAACATGTTCTCTTGGGAACTTCATGTCTTTCTTCGTCTCTGAACTCCAATCTTTCTTCATCCTTGCGCAATAACGCTCATTGTATGTGAGGTCAATCATTTCTTCAAGGTTCTCATTATACATCGTTGTGAAGTATGTGCAAAGTTCTCCTGTTCTAATTGGTTCGAAATAATTGTTAGCAAACAAGAGTTCAATGACTTTTGCAAGTGGTGTAACTAACTTTGAGTTAATTGCATACCTTGTTTCATATCTTCTGTTAACTAACATCTTCTTCTCTAAAGTCCAATCCTTGCACAACTTACAAACATCTTCATAGTTCTTGATGAACATTGAACTTATTGGAAGCTTTTCGTTCAACATGTAGTGGTCATACATTAATAAAAGTTCTACTGTCATCTTTGGTTCTTCATCTGGTTCATAAGTATATGAATGATTTGAATACTTCTCGTTGTATTTGATGACATGGAACCTTATTCCTGTTTCTTTGGCAATAACCTTAATCTTTGACATTGGAAAATCTTTGACACGAATGATTTCCCTCATATGATTAATTGTTGCTTCGTCAACACCAGCTTGAATACAAGCGTAGATGAAACATGAATCTTTCATCATCTTCTTTGCTGTCTCTGCATTAAGTTCGTTGAAGATCTGATACCTCTCTAAGTTAATAGGTAATTTGCATGTCCATGTCCAAAGCTGACCATTACGTGACCTGTTTCTCTTCTTTGAATGGTTTTGTTTGATGATCTTGAGTGCGATCTTTTCTTGACCTGCTGCTCTCATCGTATCTAACATAACTTGTTCTTCAGCTGTGAGTTTATATGGTGTGTACGTTCCTTTTCTCAAAGCAGAAGCATCAACATCTGAATAAGCTGTATAGTCAAAGATCTCGATCTTCCTTAACGAAGGAATACTACAAAGGAAGAAGTCATAGTTTGATTCAAGGACTTTAGATGCTAATTCTTGTACTTCTGCTATTGGAGCTTCATTAAGTAACTGATGAACTAATGATCCCATTGTATTGATGTTCAAATGACGCAAAATGTTTCTCTTCTCATCAAAGTCGTAATAGAATGTCCACTTCTGTTTGAAAAGGTCTATCTGTCCAATGAACTTTGCCATAACTCTTGGAAACATCTTGTTGAAGTAATCTTTTCCTCTTGGACTGTATTGGTCAATGTTAAACATAATGAATCTTTCTCCTGCTTTAGTTATTGGGTCTAACCATTTCTCATCAGGAAGTTTTTGACCATTAATGTTCTTAACAACGTAAAAGGCATTCTGTATTTCTTTGTATGCTAATTCGCTCTCATCAATCTTTGGTGGAGGGTCTGAGTATATTGGTTGCATCTCCATTAACGCTCTATTATGAGATCTCTGATCGTGATCTAAAGCAACTGGGGAATTTGAAGCTGGAACATTCATGATACCATTGTAGTCATCATAGAAGCTCTTAGCATTCTTGAAAATATCTGCTACACTTCCTGTACCTCCTTGATTCTTAATTGCCAGAGCTAATTTATTGGTAATGTCTTTAGCTTTCTTAGGCATTTTGATCCCAAACATATCAAGCATACCTTTCTTATCTTCTGGTGAAAGGTTATTAACTAATCCTTTTATAGCATTGAGCATGTTGGTCTTTTATAACCGATAAAAAAATATACGTTATTTTTTTTTAATCGTCATCGTAATCATAATCGTACGAAGATTCTGTATCATCATCACTGACATCATTGGTTTCTCTAACTTCTGGCTTATCTGGTTTAATCTCTATCACCATAAACATTGGTGACAATAATCGAACAGGCTGATCTTGGAAGTCAACTAAGGTAAACGTAACATTAGTTAGTTCCCATGGAAATGCATCTATCCATGGTGAGGATTCCTTACATATAAGTGGTTTACCAGATATCCAGAACTCATTGATGTTATAACATGTAGATCTGTACATGATCTTTCTTCGATCATCAACTTGGTCAATATTATTGAACCCAGAGATGACAGACATTGATGAACGAAGGTATAACTGATACCCGAAGTTGAGCATAGGTGGTTTTGGCATTTGTAGATAATAATTATGTACAATAGGTAGTTCTATTCCATATGCACCTAAAATAAGATTTGCTCTATGTGAAGCATCTTTTAAATAGACTTTATGTCCTTTGTCCTGTGACGTAAATATAAGTTGATTCGTAGCACTCAGTGAAACTGTTACATTATGTTGACCTTTTTTCTTGTTATAATAATCAAACTGTTTTGTTACAATCTCTTGTAGTTTTGATACAATAGTATCCATATCAAATGAAAGAGCTGACTTAAATGTACACACCTTTTCTTCTCCATCTTCGTCTAACTGTAAGACAAAATAATCTGTTTCGTCACAAACAATAAAGTTCGCCATAGTACTGACACTTTTTACTCTCATCTTTATCTTACTTGGATGCCCCATGTTAGGATCTGCTTGAAACTGTATTGTCCCGTAGTTATTAGGATCAGTCGATTGTAGATAATACATCATTTTTATATGTAGTAAAAGAATGAGTGTTGTTCCATATGCATATGAATGTTATAAGTCTAGCGTACTTCAATATAAAGAATATACTCTCAGAATTACTGATAATGCTTTAGTCATACATAAAGAAGGTGCTGATGAAGACATTACCATCGGTCCTGGTATATTACCTATCGAGCAACCAGATGGTACAATTGTTGAAACAGACTTAAATCAATACCTTCAAGCGTTACAGAATCGTGTGACAAAAGTAGAGAATAATTACTTAGATGCTCCATTCTTCACAACTGATAGAGATTATATGTTTTCATGTATGGCGAGTAATGGTTTGCAAGAAACTCGTGAGGTAAATATTAATGAAGCATTAGAGACTATAATATATCATGTTAAACGGTTATTATCGATTGACCATGGAGTTCATTTTGACCCAAGGTCTACACTGTTCAATATACCAATGATTGAAAACAGTCAATTAACATTTAAAGAAGATACATTGTATAATGCTTTAAACGCAGCATTTGCTTATATATTAGGTCATGAACAAGTACAAAATAGTGGTATTGCAATATACTTAGATAAAGTTATGTTAAAGAAACCATTGACATTCACAGAAGATGGTCCAAAAGCAACTGGTATTGTTGGTGATGGAACATTATTGACGAAAGAATACTTAGCAAGTCATGTCGGAGAATTTTTCTCCACTAATGATAGCATCAGTACAACACCAGAAGTTATTTTATTGAAGAAACCAATCACATTTGATGTTAAAGGAAAGACAAAAGCAACTGGTATAGCTGGCGATGGAGTTCTTCTGACTAAGGAATACTTGAAGAAAAATATCAATGACTTCGTTGAAATTGTCAAAGATAAAGAATCTGGTCTTAAGTTCAACCCTTTATCATTCATCTTTGCCATAGCAAACGCCGGTGCTACTGCAGCCTCATGGATATCACTCCAGAGTCAAATAAATGCTCTTTGGGCTTTTGTTGAAAGTCAAGAAGGTATAGATACTGTTCTTGACACTCTGGGTAATCTTGGTCCAAATCATAAAGGAGGTTTTGTGGATGGAATAAAAAATTTAGTTGAAAAGACTAAAACAAGTTTCCAGAAGATAACTCATATAGAAAGATTCAGAAATGAAGGTTATATGGAACTTGAGAGTTTTGATGTGACTGGACCTTTGGAACCAATTCCAATGCCACGTGATGCTAATGATGAAGAAGAGAAAGATCCTGGACCAAAAACAATCATTTCTACGTTAAGTACTTTGTACCCTGATTTTGTGACCTTAGTGAAAGTTGCTAATACATCAAGAAAGAACAATAATATTAATATGTCTGGTACTGATGACCTTACTGATTATCTTTATCTCATTCTTGCTGAATTAGCGAAGAAAGTTGAGGAGAACAAAAATAATGGAGGAAGAACTGCACTTAAGATTGCAGACAAAGCTGACAAAAGTTATGTTGACGAAGAGATACGTAAAGTTGCATCTAAAGAATATACTTTATCACAGTCTGTCATACTTAAGACAATCAAAGGTCCAGAGAAAGATATGTACCCAGGTGATGGTACAACAGTTAAAGTTAATGAAAGAGTTTCATTCCCATCTGGTATTGATACAAAAGAAGTATATATTAATGGTGAAAACATCAATACAACATTGTTTCCTTTGAAAAATAATGAGTTCACTGAACCTTTGACAGTTAAATCAATTCGTTCAAGAGAAGACAAACCTGTTATAATCAATAAAATAGGAGCTGATAATGACCAACCAGTTCAAATCAAGAAAATAAGAGCTGATGACATTATCTTGAACTATACTTTAGGTTCAAGTGCTCCACAAGAAGATCCAAGCACTAGCGTAAAAGATACTCTTAACAGTTTAGATAGTAAATGTACGAACATTGAAGGTCATGCCAGAAACTTCGAAGTATATGAACTACCAGCAATGTTAGATAAGAAAGCTGACAAGAACCATGTTCATTATATAAGTTCAGATGAACAGATTATAACGGACTACCACGGATATTTAACACAGGGTGAAAAAGTGAATACGAAAAATGTTAATGAAAGAAGATATAAATTCATTCGTGCTAAAGGTTATGACATACACTGTACTGTACAGTATGACACAGGTATAGCACCACAATCATTTGGTTATAACGCTGAAATTTATGCTTCATACTTCTTTGTTAACGGTGTATTAGTTGAGCCAAGATTTAGGTTGAGAGTTAAGGCAAAAATAACCGTTGAAGATGCTATTAAAAGTAAAGCTGACAAAGATGAACTTGACGCAACGAACAAAGTTTTGAAATCTCATAAACACAATATCTCCGACATAAATTCACTTCAAACTTCTTTAGACAACAAAGCAGACAAAACTTATGTTAATGAACAGATCTCAAAGATCTCTAATGCATCTGTAAACAATGGAATACCTGAAAGCATTACAGTTAGCTTTGGTAATAATGATATGGGTAAAGTTGCAATATTTATAAATTATAACATTGGTCCATCAGAAAAAGGTCCAAGTTACTATACATTGAGTCATGGTAAATCTATTGAACTTGTGTTCCACAAAAAAGATGGAACAAACTTAACTATTCATCCTGGAGATACGTTTGAGTTTTATTTGAACGATGTCACCACAGTAGATTATACTTATAGACCTTCTAACATGTTTGACATGATGTATCCAATTGGTTCTATATTTACATCAATGAGCTCAACAAGCCCGCAAACCCTTTATGGAGGTGTTTGGCAACCGATTGTTGATCAGTTTCTTTACTGTTCTAACTCATCAATGGACTTTGGTGGTTCAAAGACTATCAGAGTTGAAAACCTTCCACCACACTCCCATAGGTTCAGTGCAACAACATCTACTAATGGAGAGCATTCACATTCAATGACAAAAAGAGGTTATACAAATCTTGCAGCAGGTTCTGATAGACAAGGTATGAATAGATATGATATCACAGATGACCCTAGAGATGTTAGTACAGGTATTTTCTGCGGATCTGCAGGAAACCATACTCACACAGTAGCTGGAATCACAGATGCAACAGGAAAAGGTCAAGACTTCTTACCACCATTTATGACTGTATTCGCTTGGTTCAGAGCTGCTTAACTCAAGATCACGATCACAAACTGTTTCTCAGTATGAATGAGTAGCTCTATTTTTACATCATTACTGAAGTATTTCTTTTCTTCATCAATGACAGAAAGAATGTTTTCATCATCTTTTAAAGATCTTACCAAAGTTAGATCTTCATCAGAAAATCTCAAAGAAAGACTCATTTATGCACTAATAAAAATATAGCTAATTATTTTTTTATCTGAACTTTTTATCGGGTATATAAAGATGTCTGAACATCATATAAAGTTCTTTAAGATCCAACAGTTTGTAGATGAAGTGAAGAAGCAAAATAAAACAGCAAAGAGACTACTTATATGCTTACCACAAACATTATGTCAAGGAAAGTATGGTTATAGTGCAAGTCCGATCATGATCTTTGTCGATAAGCAGAAATACACAAATGAAGGTTTAGCTAATTTACTCAAGTTTGAAAAGATAGCTATAAACATTCCTGACCATTTCTCAGCGAGAATAAACCTTGACAAGACTAAAAGTTATTGTTTATATGTAGATCTCACGAAATCAACAAAGAGTAAAGACAAAGAATATAACCCAGTTGAACTTAAGACAATGGGTAAGAACTTACTCAAAGCTGCTATCAAACCTGTCGAAGAGATCGACATTGAGGATGAAGCAGAAGAAATAGATGTAGATCCTGAAGTGTTATAAACGATAAAGTTTATTTTTGGAGGAAGATGGTGTCAGACCATTTGATCTGGCATGCTTGTTCTAGGTAATTGCAGAAACCTGGAAAGATTGTTATTGGTCTGAGTTTCATACCTGGTCTCTCATCTCTCCATTGAAGCAAGTAAATTTACATGAAGAGTTCGTCTGGATTCTCAGGCTTTGGTACACACTGATCGAAGATCTGTATGACCTCTTCATGACCGTACTCCCTCTGGTCAGACATGAGTGTTCTGAAGAACTTTTGCATCTTCGGACCAGGTTTAGCATCTATGCAACGAGTGGGTCTCATTGACATTTTTGTCACTTTTATTTGGTCGAATGGAAGGATTCGAGTTCATGCCACTTGACAGCAAAGAAGGTGCAGAAGAGGTTGTTGTTGCTGCATTCTATGCGAGCTCACACGTTGACGCATTCCGAACTTACCAGGATGACCTCGAAAAAGAAGGTCGAAAGCTTGGAAAGATCCAAATGTTGCTTGAGTTCTTCCGTGGAAACCTTGCACAGAAGTATGAGAAGAAAGAATAAACAACTAATTATTACTGAGCTTAGCTCATAAATGTAAGTTTTTACTCTGATCAGATCTTAGATCTCGTCGGGACAAGCGGAAAGGATAAAGTCCATGAGCTGGACTTTTGTCTTAGTGAGCGGTACTGCGGTCATGAGTAGTTCGCGCTTGTTTGAGCCACTTGGAACGCGACCCTTCCAATTCCTCATAGATCTCAAGGCAGAGATCGTGAAGAACTCAAGGACAAAGAGTCTTTGAGACTTGGTAAGGAATCCCTCATCATCTCTTTCATCCTGGAGGGTCTTTGTGGATGCAGTGGACTTGATCTCGTCTTCCTCGATCGGATCATTCTCATAATCTTCATCACCCTTCTTCCTAAACGTCATCTGCTCTCTCTTGTAGTCGTTCCTGAGAGCATTGAGTCCAGCTTCAAGATCTTGTGAGTTCTTTGCAGGTTTATTGAAAGTTTTCTTTTCCTGCATTTGCTGTATAAGCTGGGTTTGCTGTTGCATCATCTGCATCATCATTGCCATCATATCTAGTGTTGGTGATGCTGGAGCTGGTGTTGTACCATCTTGGGACATTCGGTCGTCGGTTATGTCTTTACAAAAGACTGCTTTACAAAGACAGCTTTACAAAAGACAGCTTTACAAAAGACAGCTTTACAAAAGACAGCTTTACAAAAGACAGCTTTACAAAAGACTGCTTTACAAAAGACAGCTTTACAAAAGACGTCTTGACAAAAGACAGCTTTACAAAAGACTGCTTTACAAAAGCATTTTCTCACAAAATTGAATACTTTTGCTTTACAAAAGACGTCTTGACAAAAGATTGCTTTACAAAAGTCTGCTTTACAAAAGACGTCTTGACAAAAGATTGCTTTACAAAAGTCTGCTTTACAAAAGATTGCTTTACAAAAGATTGCTTTACAAAAGTCTGCTTTACAAAAGACAGCTTTACAAAAGATTGCTTTACAAAAGCCATGACTGATCTTCATCCAATTTGTTTAATCGAACTTAATGAAGTAATTTCTGCATATCTCCTGCATGTATTTGGAAACGAGAGGATAAGACAACTCACCAAGGTTTCCAGACGCCAGATCCAAAGACTTGAATCAACTGCAGGAGTAATCCTAAGCTTTGAAGAAGGATTAACCAATAAGAAAGATGTCATTGACTCCAAGCGTGAAAGCCTTGCTGCTTTCTTACGCAAACACCCATGGGTCGATGTTGATCTCCAAACTCCTTACCAAGGACTCGTTGAAACCTTCACGACCTACAGACAGCTCCTTGACAGACCTGAGCAGAACCTTCTGGTCGAACGTGATGGCACATTAAGCCCTACAGACGAGTCAATCCAGAGAGAAGAAGCTCAAGAGTAAAAATCTGACATTTATACTTTACATGACATTTTTTTCATGAGTGTTCACGTTAAGATCAATGATGAAAACATGACTTCATGGGAAGATATCATTGATGACATAGAGAATGACCTTGATGAAAACATGATGGGAGCTCAAACGTCAGTTAAGGTCAAACTTGGTGAAGTTCAAGAAAAGATCTCCGAGATCAATGCAAAAATATCTGCTCTTACAGAGGTTGACGTTTATTACAGAAGCTTGGAGAGAACTTTAAGCAAACTTGAACGTCAGAACCAAAGTCTCATAGTTGTGCTCCAGAAACTCAGTCTCATGCGTAAAGCATATAATGACTACCTACATGTAAGAGACTTACCTTCTTATTCTACTCCAGATCTCGACTTTTCCGATATAAGTCCAATCCTTATTGATACAACACTTACGATAGCAGGGATGCTTCCTACATATCCAGAATATGATAACTTACCTCAGCTCTTCGAGTATCTCAAGAAAAAGTTCATGATCTTATTATGCGAGACCATGAAAAGACGTCAAAATACCAGAACAGAACGAGAACAGAGCTTACTAATAGACTTATTATATAATACTAAAGAAATAAAGGAGTTTTTATTCTAACTTTGGTATTTTTGGGAAGAACTGATCTGGATCATATTTGTCAACCACAGGTTTTGGTATCAAAAGTCTCTCTGGTTCTTGGACGGCTGGTACTGGAAATGGTTCCTTTGGTTTCCTAGCTTTTGGGAGATCTAAAAATTTTCTTGGTCTCTTTCTTTTGTGTAAGTGTTGTCCATTTTTATCGACAACGAATGTGAGCTTTCCGTCGTCAAAGATGAATGTCGTCGCTTCTTCAGTTCCCTCATCAACTATTATCTTCTTGATCTTTCTCTTCTCCATTAACAGAAAAAGTGACATATATTACTTCATTATTTTTCTGAGTGTTAGGATTAATTAAACCTCTATCTATAACATGCTTTCTCATAGGAAATTTCTCTCCATATCTTTTTGTCAATATCTCTATAAGTTCTTCTGTATAAGATTTATCACTACTGAAGTAAATAGATGGATAATTAAGGACATCAAAGGTTTCTACAGTATCTTTAAGAGTCCATTCATCTCCATACTGTATAGAATAAGTATGGAAGTATGGAGGATCACATATAAAGAAAACATTGGGAAGATCTTTATACTCATTGAAGAGTATTCTCCAATCTTTATGAACAATAGTTAAACCTTCAAGATAGTCATCTATGTTTTCACCAAATAAGTTAGTATATCTGAGGTATAACACTTTCTTCATTAATGTGTCAAGATCATAGTATTTGTATGCTCCAGAATAGAGAAGACGTGAACATAATGTATCCCAGTCTATGTATGGAGCTTTACTTATAACTTCTCTGACGATCTCTTTCTGATCAGTAGGAATTTTCTCATCTGGCTTAACATTTATTCTCTCCTTAAGTTCCTTAAGTATTTCATTCGTGTCATGAATGTGTTTCAGTCTATCAACGTAGTTATCATAGTCGTTAGCTATGATCGTTGCTTTTGGGAACATAATATGCAACAGATGAGAGATATAGAGAGAACCACCAAATAGGTCAACGAAGACATAATCCCCTTTGATGTCTTTGAGTATGTCGATAAGATCTTTCCTGATCTTCGACTTATTACCTATGAAAGGTAAAGGAGGTTTGGTAAAAATCATTTATATGGTAATAAAAATAAGTGTTTACTTGAGACAATAACCTCTGTTGAGTTTGTAGAACAAGATCAGAAGTACGATCAAGTTCAAAACAACACAAATGGCTAGGATTGCGTTACCAACAATCTTTGTCTTTTCCCAGCAAGACTTCTTCTTTGGTTCATGTGCTGCTTCGACATCACTGTATGGCTCGGACATTAACTTAAAAAGTGTCATGACCACTTCATTTTTGATGAAGTCAACAGCTTATGTCCACTTCCTCCCACAAGCACTTGAGGGACAAGAGAAGGTCATCATTGACTACCTTCAAGCCACTGAGAAGCTCCAAAAGCTTCAAGATCTCCGCGAAGAGTTCAAGTCCCGCTTGAAACAGGAGAACTTACTGCAGGAGTACATGCTCATCCTTTATACACTCATTGATGGCTCCCATTTACCATCAGAGTACACTGCAGTTCTTGATGCACTCAAAGATCTTCGCGAACACCAGCCGATCGGTAAAGAAGCCTTCGAGCTCACCATTGAGCAAGCCATCTTCGCCAAGCACAATGCAAAGAAGCAGATGCTCGAAGCTCTTGACAAGATCAAAAAGTACGTCGAAAAGTACTAAAAATAATTACTTGAGTAAACGATAAGTTTTATTCATTGTTTCTCTTTTCAAGATATTCTTTCATCTTGACGTTATATTTTCCTAACTCATACAAGAACGTGTAGTATGAAACTTCAACCTCACGATGCTTTTCATACCATTTCATTATGAACATGGTAAGAATTGCTTCTTCGGGATTTGAGAAGGGATCTTCTTCACCAAATACGTTGTGATGAACTCTCATTGCTTTACCTACAGATATTGGTTCATCTTCCTCAGCAATTAGGTCAAAGAACCTTTGTAGTCTTTGGCTCATTGGAAATGTCACTTTTCGGTTAAACGATCACATACTTAAGACATAAATTATACCTACTTATTAACTCAGTATATTGTGCATTATATGCATACTTAAACTCTTGAGCAATATTGTTCTCATCAATGATTCTGATCTGAGCTATTTTTGAGAAAGGTGGTGGAATACCACAACATGTGATGTCTGGGTCCAGTAGGTCTATTTCACACTTGAACCCAGTCATTCTGTGAACAACTTCTTCCAAGTCTGGCTTAGGTAGTAAGATCTGATCTTTGCTCACTAAGTTAGAAAAGAGCTCTTTGTCTTGGTCTAGAAGTATCTTCTGGTATATACTAAGTAAATACTCTTCTACACCAATCCTCGATGAAGTCTCCACAGATCTCGATGAGGTCAGGTTGGAAGTTAATGGACTTAAAGGAGGAGGATACATTGGTGCTTCTGAGTTCGTAGTTGTTTCCTCTTTTTTTATCTCTGTTGGAGCATCACTTACTGTACCAGATGGATAGTTCTTTATCACAATGTTATTAGTTGTTCTTGAATCAACATTGCTTGTTGGTTCAATTGGAAGATTAGCTGCACCATAAAGAATTGACTTCGATCTCATTTGTTATGAGTAAAAATTGTTTTATTCTCATATAAATGACGAACATTAACCCAGAGAACAACACAGAATATACTGCAACAGGAGTTGTTTACAATGATCTAGATCAGATCGTCCAACTCAAAGCCCCAAGAGGAAGGAATTTAATAAGACAACCTCCACCAAAGATATATGTTGATGATGGTAGTAATGGGTTCAACTTAGTGTATCATTACTCATATCCTCAATATGCAAAAATTGGGTCTACCCCAAACGTGACAAACCATTATATGAACCTTTATGATGAAGCAAGGTTTCATGCACCAACGAAGAAAGAACCTGATGCATCAAGATTACATGAATTCGCAGACCATGATGGTTATAGCGATTACTCAATGCCTGTAAGACTTTAACGTTAATAAAAAAATGACTGTTGGTAAACAAGAAAAAACTTTAATACAAGAGGATTTGATGCTACCAATATATTCAACTGATATGGGAGCTTATCAATTCGATACATTTGAGAATCCTGGTGGAACACCACCATATTTTCTTTTGTTCATCAATGTAAACAGTAGAAAAGGTTATGCGTTCCCAATGAGTGAAAAGAACTCAAACAATGTTCTAAGTGCAATGCAGAAGTTCATTTCACAAGCTACAGGTGAAATGAAGCCTACAATACTTACTAGTGATGAAGACCCAGCTTATACGACACAAAATGTTCGAGATCTGTTGGTCAGTCATAACATTGAGCACATGACGACACAGAAATACAATCATAACATACTAGGTATTATTAATAGGTTCTGTAGAACTATTAGAACTATGTTACATATGAAGTTAAACCTCAAAGAAGGTGATAAAACACCACCTTTCACTGCAGATACAATGAGACAAATTATTAATGACTACAACACTGAATATCATTCAAGCACACAACAAAAGCCTGATGATTTCACAGAAAAGGATAATGAGGAATATATAAAGAAGCAAAGATTGAAAGAAGAGTATGTCAGAAAAAATAACCTTTATAACTTAAGACCTGGTCAAAAAGTTCAAGTCATAGTTGAACCAAGAACATGGGGTAAAGGTAACCAACAAAGAAGACATCTTGATCCTTCTTATTATACAGTTGATTCAGTTGATACAAGTGCATACTTGTTAAGAGCAAAAGATGGAAGTGTTGCAAGATATCCACGTTATCAGATATGGACAAAAATAGAGCATGGATTAAAGCAAGGAGAAACTTTAGATCAAGGAAGACACGGTGCTGTTAAAAGTATTGATGGTCATGAACTTGTCGGTAATGATGTAAAGTATGATGTTACGTTTGAGAACGAAAATACAGGAAAAGTGACAGGTAGAGGTATGCGTGAAGGTAATCCAAACAGGTTGTCACAAATGGAAGTACAGTATTGGAGGAAAAATATTAATGAAGGTCATGTTAAAGATATGCCTAGTTTTCTTGAGAAGTATCGTGGGTTTCGAGTTTAGCTTGTAAGTCCTTTATTTTTGTTTCATACAATGAGATCTTCCTTCTGATCTGTTCATCATTGAGAGGTTGCTTGACTTTACGGAACTGTACACGTCCGTCTTTCATTGTATGTACATAATATCCATCAGGAACCTTACCATCTTTTATATATTCAGTTAACCACTTTTGTTTAGTTGATGCTTTAATGACTTGACTCATTTCTTACTGGATAAATTTTTATGTTTTTTATCTTTTGACGATTTTTTCTTATCCTTATCTTTCTTCTTGTCCTTGTCCTTCTTTGATTTATCCTTCTTCTTGTCCTTGTCCTTCTTGGACTTCTCTGCTGCAGGTGGTGTTGGATTCTGTTTGACTTTAGCACTTGGGTCAGGACCTTGTCTTTGAGACTTAGATATAGATTGTTTAGGAGCTGCTGCTTGTTTAGTTGCTTCAGCTTGTTGTTTAGCTAATTCAGCAGCTTGTTTATCATTCTCTTCTATTTCCTTTGCACCAGTTGCGACTTCATTCTTGAACTTTTGGAGATTCTCAGCAGCATCCATTACCTTATTCGCTCCTTTAAACAATCCATAAAATTTCTGCCATGGTGATACTGAAGGTATATTTCCACCAATTGCTGGAGGAACTGATGCTTCAGGAGTTGGAGATGGTGTTTTGTCTGAATTGAGATGCTTTTCTGCTTCAAGAACTTGTGTAGTATTTTTCTCCAGGTATGCTTTTGCAACCTCCTTAACTTCTGGACGTTCATTATTTACATCCTGTCTTGGTGTTGATGTTTCAGTAGCGTTTTCCTGAGTTACATTAACAACAGGTTGCTCAACTGCTGAAACATTAGCTGCTTCAGTAATGTTATGAGTAGTTGAAACATTTCCTGATATACCTTCTCCTGTTGGAACTCTTGGAGCAATTGTTGTGATGTTCGCCATTGCAGGAGTTGGAGTAGGAGTGTCATCAATCTTTCTGTCAGCTTTCGTCGTTTGCGTTGTAGTATTTGTTGTTTCATTACCATATTTTGATCTTAGTCTGGTAAGCTCTAACTTCATATGTTCTTCAGGATATGCATACTTATTATATTCACCCTTAATATTCTTTTTCCATTCATCGTATTTATCTTCTGCTGATTTCTTAATTGATGCTAGTCCGTTTACAGCCAATTCATCAGTACCGTTATCAGTAGTCTGGTTATATAAAAGATTAGCAGCTGATCTAATTGTGTAATCCGTAAGATTACCAAAACGCTCTATTGTACCTAATGTTGTGTTCTTCAGTTCCTTTCCAATTCCTTGTGCAGCATCTTTGACTAAATCAGCACCCCATGCACCAAATTGTCTCACAGGAGCCGCTATTGATGGTGAAGGAGATGGAGATGGCGATGGAGTTGGTGATGGTGAAGGAGATGGAGATGGTGAAGGAGATGGAGTTGGCGATGGTGTTGCTGCTTTCGCCTTTCTATCAGCTTCTTCTTTCGCCTTTCTATCTGCTTCTTCCTTAGCCTTACGAGCTTTTTCTTTCTTCTTAAGTTCCTCTAGTTCTTTACGTTCAGCTTCTTCTTTCGCCTTTCGTTCAGCTTCTTCCTTAGCCTTACGAGCTTTTTCTTTCTTCTTAAGCTCCTCTAGTTCTTTACGTTCAGCTTCTTCTTTCGCCTTTCGTTCAGCTTCTTCCTTAGCCTTACGAGCTTTTTCTTTCTTCTTAAGCTCCTCTAGTTCTTTACGTTCAGCTTCTTCTTTCGCCTTTCGTTCAGCTTCTTCCTTAGCCTTACGAGCTTTTTCTTTCTTCTTAAGCTCCTCTAGTTCTTTACGTTCAGCTTCTTCTTTCGCCTTTCGTTCAGCTTCTTCCTTAGCCTTACGAGCTTTTTCTTCATAATATTTTGTATACTTATCATCAGCCCAATTACCAAGTGATTTGGCACCTGTTAGTATTCCATTTGCGGTTGATGTTGCTGTTCTTCCGAGCCATCCCCCTACCGCTGAAGCACCATTGCCAATAGCACTACCAGCATTTAAAATTCCACGACCAATCCATATCCCTGGTTTTGCCTTTGTATTAAGAGTAAGAAATTCTTCCTTCCTATCTTCAGGTGTAGGATTTGTAACAGTTCTTACAGTATCAACAACAGTGTCAACACTGGTTCCAATAGCACTACCAACAGCTGTTGCACCAGTTAGAATACCATGGGTAACTAAATCAGTAGCTCTTGAGACAACATTATCACTCGAGGCTTTCTCTGCTGGATAGTTTGATCCTTTGTAAGTTCCTGGACCACCTCTATTTGAAGCTTCTCCTTCAACTATTTTCTTCTCTTCTTGTGCTTGTTCTCTGGCAACACTCAATGCACGTTCTTGTCTTTGAATGTTGTCTTTCTTTAACATGTAACCACCAAGTGTCTGTGGTGGTGTGTTTTTATCTAGTGCAGCATCAATTGCAGCCTTTTCTTTTCGCTTTTCTTCGTCTAACCAATTTTGAATAGATTCTGCATCAGTTGGTTCAGCTGGAGTTGGAGACGGTGTTGGAGCTTTAGTTGGTGTTGGAGACGGTGTCGGAGCTTTAGTCGGAGTTGGAGATGGAGTAGGTGCTTTTGTAGGTGTCGGTGATGGAGTTGGAGATGGAGTTGGAGGTACTGTTGGTTCTGGAGTTGGTTCAACAGTCGGTGAAGGTGTTGGCGCCTTTGTGATTCTTGGAGTTGGCTCTGGTGTTCTAATAGGGGAAGCAGTTGGTGTATTAGCTCTTTTAAGAACCTGTGATCTTTCCGCTTGATTTGAATCAGATACTGGGTTAGTTGTACTAGGATGTGATACAGGAGTTATTTTTGGTGTAGGTGTTGGTTTATTTAATGTTATACCATGACTACTCGACATTGGTGGAGGACCTGCGTGAGCAGTTGGTGTCAGAGTTGGCGTTGGAGCTACTGTAGGAGTTGGCGTTGGAGCTACTGTTGGTTCAGGAGTGGGAGTTGGTGTTGGAGCTACTGTAGGAGTAGGTGTAGGAGTTGGTGTTGGAGTCGACATTTGTTTTAACCTCTCATTATACCAATTCTCCAAATAATAAGCCTCACCCATTAAGTTACTCTGTCTTTGTTTTATAGAAAATTCACCTAACAGTAATTCATCATGAATCATTTTCTGCAGCTTTGTCGTGTTTTCTACTTCCTTTATTAGAACGCTCGATGTATTCGCCAATCCTCTATATTCCTTAATCATCTTATCTAGTTTGTTCATATTTGGTACTTCCTTTTTCTTCTCAGCGTTAATCTCATTAGATCGTTTCTCCAATTCTTCAACTACTTTGTAAAGCTTATTTATCTTGACATGTGATTCCTTTACTTCTCCAGTCCTTGGATCCTTAGGTTCCTTGTATTTAGCTAATTTCGTCTCTATATATCTTCGTTTAGCGTCATATCCAGGATCACTGGTTCGTAAAGGATGCGAAGGTGGACGAAAATAAGGTATGTAGAAATCTGGATCATCATTAATAGAAGAACGTGCTTTAAAGTTACGAACCGCGTCTGTAAAAGGGTCTCTACCACGTGCTGTATATGTTGATGTAATCAAAAAGCCTTCTCTTCTCATTGGGAAATTAATACGACCTTTTTGAACATATTCTTTCTCAAAGTATTGCCTAGCATTGTAATCAAAAGCAAGATCATTATATATATCGCGCAAAAAATCAAATGTATGCTGCTTGAACTTTTGATCGCTAATTATGGTACGAATTATCGGACGTTCATTCTCCCATTTCTTAACTCGTTCATCAATGAGTTTCCTCTCTTGTTCACTCATTTAAACCTCATAAAAATATATTATCTGCGTATAGTGCCACTAATAGCATTAATCCATGGCATGTCTGATAGTACACGTACTGACTGAACTAATGGCTTATGATTGTTCCAAATAGCTCCTCCAATGTATGCGTTATACTTATTGTTGTCAATAGTTTGTTGAGGTTGAACTATAGGTGTTTCAACAGGCTTGTCTCTACTGAAGTCACCACCAAGAGCTTTATTGAATGCTTTAAGATTCTTCGTTAATGCATTATCTTCACCTAATGTAGTTTTTGCAATTCTTTCACCAAGACTACCGATAACACCACCGACTTGACCAACTTGAGGGAAAAGTTTGTTAGCAATGTTAAATCCAGCACCTATTACAAGACCAGGATTTTTTTTCACCATACCCCATCCAGCTTTAACATAATCGCCAAAACCCATTTATTTCTTCTTAAAATAATGTCATCTTTTGTTGCTTAACTTCTTTAAAGTCCGTCTTTCCTGCAACTATATGAACTTCCATATATGAACGAGGTGTTGGTAGCTCTTTGTATTTGTTCCATAACTCTTCCCAATCTTCTGTTGCTCCTGACTGTTCAATCATTGACTGAAAGTCTCTCATAGAATAACCTTGAAAGATAACGAAGTCAGTGCATAGTCTCTTAATGTTTAAACATATATGTCTCCATGTTTGACACATGATGACAACAGTATAGTTATAATGTCTGACCTTAGTGATGAAGTTCGCTAATGGTGAACGTGGGTCATTCAATAAGTCATGACCACCATAATCGTCTAACACTAATAGAGAATTACTGGGATACTTTGTGAAAGGATATTTGTTCAACTTCTTTACAACATATATTGCAATCTTCTTATACTCAAACTTTCCATCAGGTTTCCTTAGTTGATGCTTTGTTAAGATGTGTTCCATCTCCTCTGAAATTTTTTCGAACTTACTTTGAACGAACTCAACAATAGCGTAATACTTTGCTTTCATCTTAACGTTCTTCATTAAATAAGGCATAAGTTCTTTATCATCCTTTTTCAGTACTGGTGCTTTAACTTGACTCATAAATGTCTTCGCTGTTTTATCCATTGTTCCTGATGTTGCTGAGATAACTATTGAGTCATAATATGGAGTATTAGTGAAGCGGTCTGTTATCATTATATGACGAATAACACCATATGTCTTACCTGAACCCATCTTACCGCAGTAGAAATAAACACCATTAGTACAAAATGGATAATCATCAGAAAATGGCATAATGAGTGCATTGTTTAGTTCTTTACTATTCTTACGTGCTCCATCATGAAGAATCTTATCTACTTGATTAATAACTTTCTCCATCTTTTAGTTACATATAAAATGTCTAAATATGATGGATTATACTATGAACATGTTATGAATGATGGCACGATAAGTGGTAATACAGTCTCATATAAATTACCGAGAGACTTCATTGAATATCCTGCGTCAAAAGCTCTTGAGATAAGAAAGATAAGTCTTGAGCATCCAGACTTTGAGTTTCTTGCTATTCCATTAGAAATGACAGATTCATCAAAATCAGTGAAAAAAAGGTTTGACATGAGATATTACATAAAACCCAACATGACTACACAGGAGTTGAATGAAGGTCTTATGGAAAAAATGACTGAGGCAAGTAGAGAATTTGTTGATTGTTACTATGATTCAAATGAAAATAAATTGAATGTATTAAGAAAAGGTACATCACCAATCATAACATTACCTTCATACAGTAGTATAGAAAAAAATGCCTTGAATTATAAATATGACATGTCCCTAGGAGATGTGTTGGATTTCATCACTGCGTTATTAGAAACCACTGAAACAGACACAACATCAAGAAAACCAGAGCTTGTTTGGGAAGATGACCATGGTAGAACATTCACGCAAAAAGTAATTCCATCGAAAGCAAAATTTTTAGACTTATGGGAAAAAAAATATATCTCGCGAATGCATGTATATTATAGTTTTACCATAGCAGATTTCACTGACGAAAATGATAAAGATAAAAAAACATATAAGTACTTTGATGAGCTTTTCATAACTATAGCGAATATCAGGTTTATCCTTGAGCGAAAGGGCAAACCAACATATAAATTTGTCGGTTATCAGATAAGAATAAATCCTCTCCTTGAGCCTTTAGTAACGTTGAGTAATATTGCTCATGATAACAAACAATTTATATGTAATGTGAATGAACAGCTTGTGCCACCAAAATTTTACGATATCACTGGTTATAAAGATGCACTCGTGTTTGAGTTTTATAAGCGCTTTTCATTCAAAAGAGTTGAAGAATCAACTGATGGTCAAAAAAAGGAATATTATGTAAAAGAACCATATGAAATTCCTAAAGACTCTAATATAATGGTTGAACTTATATTAGAGTCTGGTACTCAATCTCAACATAAATAGTTTACGTGACAGAATTTTTTTGACACGTAAAGTTTACATTTTAATGGAAGCGAACAACAAAGCTCCTGCTAGTGAATAAAGGTTAGTTTACATATGAACGTTTATTTTTACACATATATGCGTACATATGCGCGCCCGTATGGTGTCAGTTTTCTGTCACTTTTTTCATTGTGTCGGTGACTGTAGCTGTAGGCTACAGGCGACGCACAATGTATACTGTACTTAGAGATTTATGGGTGCCTATATCTTCAAAATCATTTTCATACTCACAATAGATTTAAGATAGAGGCCGAAGGCAATCCAAACATTGAAATACGTATTAATTCTTATGTAAACGTTATTGTTTTTATTAAGCGGAAATAGGAATAATTCTATTTTCACTATATCTATAATGTCTATAATTCATCGATGTCACACATCGATAAAGAGGTCACGGGAAATGAATTGACTCAGAGGATCAAGGTGTTACTGCCTCATCTAATGGCATCTCATATTCTTTCCTTTCACTATATGAATATTCATCACTTTTTTCTTCCTTGTCCTTAGATTTAGATTCAACAAATCCCAATCCAAGTGAAACAATTATAAATAGGATACCAACGCAGCATATTCCGATCTCCCATTTCTGATAAGCTGACCATTCATGGAGAAATGTGACTCCTACGATAACACCTACAATTAATTGACCAAATGGGACTAAATTTGTGCCAAAAGATCCCAATGTCGAAACCAAGTAAAGAAGACATTGGACAGCAACACCTGAAACTAAAACACCAACTAAAACCGGATATAACCATGCAATTCCAGGAGCATCGCTTAACATTTGGGAAATATTCTTTGGACCATCGAAGCAAAGCATCCAAATAGCATTCCATATAACAGATGCAAAAAGTTGAATTGCAACTCCAGTAGTAACATCTGAATCGGTGCATTTCCATTTGTAAAATACTGGAGCAATGCCGAACATGATAACAGATATAAGAACTAAGAAGTAACCAAGACACATCTGACCTTTTGTTGCGCCTGTTGACTCTGCATGTCTGAAGGAAGGGACACCACATAATATTACACCAACAATTGATGCTAAAATCGACCAAAGTGTCCACCATGTGAAGGGTTCATCATCAAGCACAAAATGAGCCATAACTGCACCCGCACCTGTCGATATCGGAAGCATAATTTGAACATTTGCTGAAGATACCCACTTTTGTGCAACAGCAATTAAGCAGTGTGGAGTGCCTAAGTTTAAAAGTCCATCAATTAACATCCAAACGATGGGCATAATACCGTTGGTAAAATGTTCCTTGATTTTATCTTTGTAGGAGCCATCTTTATCTGTAACATATCTTATGACAAGTAAAACAACCGTGAAAATAAAACCAAAGTACATTCTAAATGTTTGGAATAAACCAGCAGAAAAGTACTGTAAACCCTTAGCAACAAAGGCATAACTGGAACCATATAGTATGGCAGCCACAACAAATACTATGCCTGATAAGATAGTACACTTCATTCAGCCAGTTTGATATTTTTAATTAATTTGAATAGAATTTTTTCAAAGGGACATTTGATTAAGGTATCATTTTCCATTCCATTTTCTGTATCAAATTTTGTACAATTGTAATGCCAAATACAGATAGAATTGCATTTTTTTATGAAAATTGATAGAGAATTGCGCAAATATTACTTGATGATAGTATTAATTAATATTACTATATTCCTAATAAACATTGTAAAATTGAATGGATGTAAATTGAAATTATTTCAATGTTTTCTCACAAATTCATAAAGATTATTAGCATTCAAATTTGAATAGTAATCGTTGAATTTTATTTCGACATTTGTTCAAACGATAAAGTAGTAGAATGTTGCAAATTTATAGCATCACATTTCTTTGAAATTGATTCTAATCAACTTAAAATGATTTCGAAAAAACTTGGAATTGACATTCTTCAAGGAATATTTAGCAGTGCTGAACTTACACTCGAGAGCGAAGATTCATTAGCAAATTTCATCGCTTCTCTAACACAAGAATGCAATGATTTCTATCAATTGATCGAAAACATTCATTTTGAATTTTGTAATGAAAACATTATTAAAAAGATCAAAGATCTAGCAAATTCAAATAATTACCAAAATATTGTAAACTCACTTTCAGACTCATTAATTCGATCAAGAAACCATAGCACAAAGGACAGAAGTAAAGAGATTCCTATTAAAACAAACTATTTTGAAAGTGGAAATGTTGAAATGTCTGCCTCATCTGTAGGTTATGCATCCATTGATGTAATTAACAAATATAGAAAAGATACTTGTTTCGAATCTAATAATGAGCCAAATTCATGGGTTCAGTGGAAATTAAAGCAAAACTATTCAATTCAACCTACTGAATATATTGTACGAACAAATCCGCCGGGAGGAAATTTTTTCAATTGCCGTCTTCAGAGTTGGAAAATTGAAGGTATAACAATTAATGGAGAAACTAAAGTAATTCATGAAATAAATAATTCACCACTATCTAATGGAGAAATACGGAAATATTCACTTAATACAGAAGATAAATTTATATCATTCAAATTAACACAAACAGGCAAAAACTGTGACAAAAATGATCATTTACGCCTGGATGTATTTGATTTTTCAGGCAAAGTTTATCAAAAATAAACGAAATTAATTTAATGAATTATGAGTAATATTATTTATTTGGTCAGGTCCCCAATTGTCCCTCAAGCGACATCCTAATTACGACTCTAATAATATAAATCTTTACATGAAGAAAACAATTCTAAAATTTTAAAGATTATTGCATTTATACTTATATTAAGTTTTGACCTGCAAATAATATGAACTTTTCACCTTAGGAATTGGAACATAAATCTCAAAATGTTCTATCTTAGGGAAAATAGCATTAAGTGATAAAAATTGAATAGTTATAAACTAAGATAATGATCTCTTAATAGAGTACTTACCACTTTCTGACATTCCCTCAAATTTTTTGACTTCCAAGCTTCATATCCCAATTTTCTAAGTAAAAAAGTTAATATTTTTGGTCTGGAAAAAGTTATTATAAATAACTATATATCCTAGTATGATTTGCAGGAGTACATCAGAAAGTGTATAGTGCTCAATTAATATATAATACTAAATATAAACAAAATTTTTATTTAGAACAATATTAGTTTTTAGACAATATTTGGAATTCTCTTTCAAGTTTCTGCAGTTTGTTGATTAATTTAGCAATTTCATTTGTATCATTCATTTTATCTTGCATGTCTTCTCTTTCCTGCAGTAGTTCATCAATACTATCTTCTAGATTAGAAAACTTTCTTTTATCTGTTGATTTCCTCTTCATTCGTGATACTTCATGAGACAAATTATCAATTCTTGTGTCGAAATCATCTCTCATTCTAGAAATTTGTTCTGTTGAATCCAATATCTTTTTCGCATTTCTGAAATCATTTTCGGAGAGTTGTATCAAAGCATCAAGTTTCTGCTCTCTTTCCATTGTTCCCGTGTTGTCACAAACATAAACAGTCATGACACCATTGACATCAAGTTTCAATTTGACCCAAAGGGAATCAATATTTGATGGAATGTTTTGTATGTTAGTTTGAGCAATCAAATCGTTATTGCTGCAATGTTCTAAGTCTTCTCCTTGGAATATTTCAAGTTTCAGGCTTCTTTTCGCTTCAATTTTGAAAGGATATTGAATTTCACTCGGCAAACTTGTTCCTGGTGAGAAATACGGGAAGAACTTATCTTTGTCAATGCGAATACCAAACGGCATTGGTAAAATATCTTTGATAAGTTCGATTTCTCCACGATGATCTGATGATTTTCCCATTTGTCGACGTGTTCGGGAAATATTATTAGTAAACTTAGTAGTATTCTCTAATAATCCCTTGCAAAGAAGCATTGCGCCTTGTGCAACACTGTATCCACAAGAATCTGCCATAACAATGCAAGTTTTGCCATCAAAATAGTCTTCAAGTGCTGTTTGGACAGCAGGGATGTTACATGAACCGCCAATTGGTATAACCGCTGTTATTTGGTCTTTAGATAATTTGGCTTTTTGGAGAGCTTTGTCGAGAGATTCGATACAGGCTTGGATCTTATCTTCTATGAGGCTCTCGAATTTAATTCTGCGAATCATCTTCTGTAAATCCCCGTTTTTGTAAAAATTCGGAATAATAATTTCGGAACTTTTCATTGTAGACAAATTAATCTTACATTTTTCGCATGCCTCAAGTAAATTTGCACATTCTTTCGATTTTGGATCGAATCTGAAGTTCGGATGAGTTTTTTGTTCATCTCGAACAACAAAATCGTATAATGCCTTGTCTAAATCTTTGCCACCAAGGTTTACGTTGCCTTCGACCGCAATAATGTTGCAATCGTCGTTTTCAAACGCGACAATTGAAACATCTAACGTTCCTGCACCAAAATCAAAGATTAACACGGTCTGCTTACCTGTAACCCCTTGATCTTTGATTGTATCTTTGTATGCAATAGCTGCGGCTGTTGGCTCGCTGATAAATTGAATTACATCTAATCCTGCAAGTTCAGCTGCAGTTTTAGTACATTCACGCTGGTTAGGACTGAATAAAGCTGGGATTGTAATAACAACTGATTTCATTTCGTTTCCTGTCGTTTTCTTGAATTGATTTTTAATTTCTAATAGAATTTGAGCAGAAATAGTTTCTGGATCGTATGTATTTCCTTCAATTACGTATGCTGGCCTATCGTTTTTATTGATAATTTCATAAGGACAAGTTTTGATAAAATTTTGAACGTAAGGATCATTAAATTTTCGTCCAATTAGTCTCTTTGATCCATATGCTACTCTTTCTGGATGATTAACCATATAATCTTTGATAGTTGAACCCAATGAAAAAGAAGTTTTGTTATTTTGGTCTTTTTCGATACATACTAAAGAAGGAAGGTAATAATCTCCTCCAAATTGAACCCTGTCAGAACGTTTTCCAATGAAATAAGCGCAAACTGAGTTACTTGTGCCTAAATCTATTCCAACAGGAATCATAATGTGGTGGGAAAAAAAATTCGATTTTTTTTAGTAAAAATTTTTAGGATTTGTATACGTATCGTCTTTTGAATATGTTAATACTATACTTTTTATTAAATCATGAAGAAGCACCATGAGAAATTAGAAATTCCTTTATTTTTTTCCTATAAAACTGTTCTGCTTGAATAAGGGGAGTATTTCCATTCTTATCTTTTATTGTTAGATCTGCTCCATGCGAAATAAGAATATCTACAATTTCTAAGCGGTTTATCTTTACAGCAATATGGAGTGCTGTCTTCCCATATTTATCTATTGCGTTAATATCCGCATTATGAGAGATTAGAAATTCAATCATTTCTTTACTACCATTAATAATTCTGTTGTGAAGAATCGGCCGTCCAAAGTGATCATTTATATTGATATCTGCACCATGGGCAATAAGAACTTTTGCCATTTCTATGTTATTATTATTCACTGCATAATAAAGGGCAGAACTTGATAGATTATCTCTTACATTTATATCGATACCATGCAAAATTAGAATTTTTGCGATTTCTGTGAAATTATTTTCAACTGCACAATGAAGAGCAGTTCTATTGAATTTATCTCTTGCATTGATATCAATACCATTAGTAATAAGAAATTCTACTGTTTCTTTGCAATTATTTTTTGCGGCGAAATGAAGGGCAGTCATTAACAATTTATCTCTTTCATTTATATCAATTCCATGTGAAATGAGAACTTTGGCAGTTTCTTTGCTATTATTTTCTGCAGCTAAATGAAGTGCAGTCATTAATTCTTTATCACTTTTATTGATATGAATTCTTTGAGAAAATAAAACATTGTAAGTTACTTTGGTTTCATCATTTCCTTGAATTTTGATTCCATGTGAAATAAGAAATTCTGCAATTTCAAATGTATTATACATCGCAGAGTATTTCATTAATTGATCATCAACATGACAATAAGAAATGTTTTTTGTCTCATTCCCAAGAATGTCAATTGTCTGCGGAAAAGCTGCACAAAATGGAATAATCGTTCTTCTATCTTTTTTGTACAAAAGGTAAACTGCAGTTAGGTTTTGCGAGTTGATGATTGTAGTATATTTAAATTTTTTTTGGTTGAAAAATTTTATCGTTGAATATATATTCAAGGAGTTTATTATTATGACATGAAACTATTTCATTCAAATAATATTCAGCAATTTTGTTATTCTTCAAACATTCATTGATAATGTCAGTATTCCCTCCAATAATAGAATAATGAAGACAATCTTTAGTGATTTTAGATTTCGTATTTGAAATAAGAAAATAGAAAATGTTCACTGATCCATAATAGCAGCAAGCTTCAATAAGTGAAACTGAAGAATTAGTATGAATTTTTATCAAAACATCATTTAGGGTTTTTTCGACTGAATACTCCCTGAATTTATCAATTTGATCGTGCATAATTATATAATCAATTTCATTTTCCTTTGAAAATGAATTTTCATCAAAATAAAATTGGTTACTTTGAACAACTTTCTTTGGATTCTGTATCATAATTTTTCCTAGATCCTTGTTTTCTATTATGTCATTGAGTAAATATTTGCAAATTAAAGAATATTTTGAAACGATTTTGTTAAGAATTATAACATATTGTTCCATGCATCGATAATTGTAGTGAATTGCACGAATTATGCTAAAGATGATTTGTCTTGGTGGAATTTTGTACTTGTTAATTAAAACCAAATTGATACAATTAAATATGACTTCAATAGATTCATCTGCTTTCATTTGGTAGAGTTTCTCATAAGTTTCTATGAAATCTCTATATTTCTCAAGAAAATTCATCCTTTTAATTGGAGGAACTTTGAATTCTTTCTCCATTAAAAAAATTTTTTTTGAATGAAACATGATTATATTATAACAATATCAAATAGATAGCGAAAAAATAACATTCTATTATTTGTCTTTCATTGTTCTTTTTCCAACCCTTAAAAGAAGTTGTAACAACTCTAATTTGACAACCTCTTAATTTTTGAACACAAGGATCATTTAACAACCACCATTTAGTCACCTTGGTCAATATGATACAATATCAAGATGACTACACATAAAATCCTTTATATGGGCACTCAATGGGAAAAAAGTGCTTTGACCTAAAAAGTGACATATTTTTTTATTGTCCAGATTGGACAAACAATCGAGAGTATTTTTTACTAATTTAATAACCTAAGCATGTGCAGAAATTTTTATAATGATGTGTCTCATAAAAGTTATGCTTCTTCTAAAGTTAACTTTTTAATTTTTTTTGCATTTATAAACAAAAACGTCAGAACTCAAAGATCCGAGAGACCAAATTATTCTACTATTAAAAGAAATAATGCTTAGAATTATCGGATGAACAATGAAGATGAAAACGAATATCATTAAGAAAAATGTAATATTTTGAAGATTTTTTCAAATGAGCTATGTATATGTTAGATCCATTAATATCAAATGGAAACTCAATCTTGGAAGATCTTGGAATAGGAAGAATATTTTAAATTTGGGATTTTCCTCGGATTACAAGATATTGGAGACATCTATTTTTGCCACAAATGCAATTGCTCATTGTTTCTAATTCCAGGAATAAGTTTATTAATTTTACATCATAGATGTTTTATTTAATATTAATGATTGATATAAGAGTTAAGAATTGATTTGATTGAAGAACCAGTCAAAAATGGTGCCCACTTCTTGGCTTCTTCATCTGTGAATATTTTGAGTGGATGCCCTTCAGTATTAAATACCCATTCTGCTGGAGAAATTAAACTTGTATCACTGAAGGTTAAGTACAGGTATTTCAAAGTCTCAGCAAGGAAATAAGAGTCTTGCGCTGTACTTGAGTATTTATCCTTTGATTCAACGTTATGGATCCAAGCAAAACCATTTTCCTTCCTTGCGTACGTGTTAATTGCTTGGAACATCTTCCATGAATAATCTCTAAATTTAGGCAATCCGGTGAATCTGAACATTACACATTCAGATTCGACAGATTCTGGTCTAAGTTTGTAAGTAGGATCACTGGCTCTGAAGTCTCGGTCTTTAGATTGAACGAAATCCATGAATTCTGGTCCAACACCTGTTTGCGTTGATGCATATGAATAATAGTAACCAGTGGCCAATTCATCTGCTAGTTTTAGATCTTCCGCTGCACCTGGATTATCTTTTACCGTTCCTACAGCTAACATTCCACCTGCAAATGTTGCAAGATGCTCTTGTCTCGGAGATGCTCGGCCTCCTCCATAACTAATACCAAGGCCTGTATAATTACTCTTTCCTGAATGAATTATGAGCTTTTCTTTGATATCTCTTGCAATTTCTAGATATTTATTCAAGAAAATTTTCGCGTAACCACGGGTCATTACATAGATCTTGATAATATACTCGAAGTAAGAGTCTGTACCTCCTCCAACGTGTAATTGGCCACCAGAGGAGTATGGGTCGCTTATTAATCCATGACCTGCTGTATTTCGCCAAATAATATTGTATGTTTTCATAGCAAGATTAATGTATTTTGGATCCCCTGTTACCATTGATAGAGCAATGAACTCTAATTGATATGTTGAAGTATCAACAAGACTTGTGCCACCATTTGAAGTTCTTCTGGCAGTAAGCTTACCACCAAAATAAGATAAGGCAATACCGCCTCCAAAGATTCCTCCCTCCATGAGAGGATAAACAGCATCAGCACATTCAACAGCTCTTTTCAAGAATATTTCGTCGCCAGTCAATTGATATGTTGATACGAAGCCACCAACAAATCTTATGAGGAATTCAAATAAAGACCATGATCCAGAAGGCTTAAAATCATTTGCTATATAATCACGAGCGGCTTTGAATTCTTCTGTTAGATTCATAATATATAATGTTGAAAGGGAATCAACAATCGTTAGTCCTGCATGTAATGTGTTGGAGCAACTTCTTGAATGAGGAACAAATTCATCTTGTCCCCAACAATACTTCCTATAAGGAGTCCATGCATGCATAAAAGCTTCTTTAACAGCTTCGGCCTTTTCTTTATCGGCTGGAATTCTCGGAAAACTTCTGTCATAAAGCAGATTTGTTTTAGTGTCTGAAATAATTGGAAAATAAAATGTTTTTGATGGATTTTCAATGGCTTCTCTTGGTATATCTTTTGGAATGTCATACATTGATGAGTTAGAGGATAACATATAACCTGAAAAATCGATATCAGAGACCAATAACAATAAAACAAGTATCATCCCATGTGCTAGGGTTGTACAAACTGGCACGCCTGCTGGCACACCTATTTTGGCCAGCTGGCACGACTTTTTTAAAAAACACATTAAAAAAGTCACTTTTTGCCCCATCTAATGAGATTTTTTTTACAATTTTTTCCCCTTATTTTTCAATTTAGATATGATTTTAAGCTCTCCAAATTGAAGTTTACCTGATGTTTCTTAGTTTTTATGATAATAAAATGTTGCAAAGTTGAGTTTGGATTCAATAAATTTAAGAAAATTTTATTTTACAATGAAATTATAAGAAAGGATGTTTTTATCCTATGTCAAAGAGAATACATTTGTAGATCCCGACTTTTGACATGGTTGAAAATTCCAAAAAAAAATTCAAAATTTAAAAAAAATTAAAAAATATAAATTTCATGTTAAAAAATGATTTTTGAAATTTTTTTGGAAAAATAGAATGTCATATTTTTATGTTTTATTGCTATTTTTTACGAAATCAATAAAATATTTGTTAATTTGGCTGAGATTATAAATAAAATCTTTCTAAATCTTGCAATTGATTGCTAAAATCTGTTTTATGTATTAATTGGCATTGAGATTCGTTATAAAAGAATGCGAATTATTTTGTATGAGTAAACGTATTTTGTAAAATTTCAAATTCTCTTCTCTCATTACTTACCTTAGATCTCTCGGCTTTTAGCTCTCAGATTTCGCTCATAGAACTCAGGTTTTAGTTATGTACTCATAGATGTATCATTACTGCCCGCAGATCTCTCATTACTACCTTACTAACCAGATCTTAACTCTCATTACTACCTTACTCATCAGATCTTAACTCTCATTACTACCTTACTAACCAGATCTTAACTCTCATTACTACCTTACTAACCAGATCTTAACTCTCATTACTACCTTACTCATCAGATATCTAATTATTTACATATGATTTCTCACATCTCACTCAAGTCTCATTACTTACCCTATCTTTTTAACCTTTTCTGATAATTACTGAAATAACTAAATCCTTTTTTTAGTTTAATTCTGATATTAAATTTTTAAAATCTCTTTAATTTTTTGAACTACGCCTTTAATTTGTAATTGCCGATTTCACAGATTTGAACCATTTAATAAAATAACATTATTCAACTTAATCATATCAAACATGGTAGTTTGATTTTCAGATCTACATTTTAAAAACCTCTTTATTATCTGGAGTTATACTTTTATTATATAATACCTGAGTTCATAACTGAAAACTCTTAATTAGAGTACAATATTCAACTTAATCATAACAAGATTTGTTGAATTTCAAATTTGATTTATATCTTCCATCACTTAAAACTCTCACAACTTACAATATAAGCTAAAAAGTATATTTTCATAGTAATAAAATTAATTATTAAATTTTTTACTTTTTCCTTTCCAAAACTAGAAAAAAAGGAAGGGAAAAGGGAAAAAGAAGAAAGAAAAGAGAAAAAGAAAAAAAAGAAGAGAAAAGAAGAAAAAATAATAATGAGCATATTATATAATTGTGGTCATAGGCCGAGTGGCGTGGAAAGGATGTCGCCCTTTGGGCTCCACCCTTTCCACGCCACGAGGCCCGATTTTTGGCCACTTTTTTGATTTTGGCCGCGTGCCAGCTCCTGGCAGGCGGCCCGCAAAATTGTGCCAGTTTGTACAACCCTACCAGGTGCCAAAAGACCTAAAATCATAATAAGAATCGAATTTCTATTCATCGAGGGTGACATTGCTCTCATCCAAATACAAAAGTGATTTTTTTGAAAAATATTCACAATATTTTTATATTACAGAATAAGTCAGATGTCTTGTTTCAATCAATGAACGATTATTTTCTGTCACAAAAATTGAAAGAAACAGAAAAATTGAATGGAGTGAGAAACAGTTTTCAATTTGGCTCATAATATGAAATTCACAAGTCAGATTGTGAGCGAAACAAGATTTGTCTTGCAAATTTTGTAAAGCTCACAATACGGCAAACCCAAATTTTAGCTAAAAGTGACAGGGAAAAAAAACGTTTAGTATTAAAAAAAAGACCGATGTGTAATGCATGAAAAATAGCGTGACTTCACTTTTGACAGTTTACAAATATAAAGTGTTGCATCCTTAAAAACTTGGAAATATATACATTCATGAATTATCTTGTATATTAATTGAAAATCCATAAAACCCTAACAATATTTTTTCTTAAAAAAAACTATAAAAATATAAATAAAATAAGGGTTTCGTTTTGCTAAAATTGTCACTTTTATAGCATATTTGTTTTTGGATGTTTTGCGAAACCAAAAAAAAAACTATGATATACAATGTGTGTGTAAAGAAAATACTTTATTTACTAGTTAAAAAATCATTTGGTATTGATCAAGTTATTTTTTCTGGATAAGATATTATATGGATAATTGGATAGAAAATACAATTATATAATCTTGTACCTGGTTTAATTAAGCTAATTGTCATCAGAAACTTGTAATTTTTATGAATTTCAGATTTTCTTTTCATTACTGCTTTTCTTAATGGGTCAAGTTCTTATTTACGTTATAAAGTATGATATCTACAAATATCAAGTTATCATGTTTTTTGAGAAATTATGAGAAACAAACAAAAATGAAAAAGATA